GCTTCCCGACAACAGGCAATATCATCTGTAACGCACATTGGCAGCGGGAGATTGGTTACTTCCTGCTAGCGTTGAGCTGCCGCCACGGAAAAAACTTCTTTTTACTTTTCACTTCATCATTGTAAATATTTTGTAAGACTGTAATCAGGCTATTGCTGTTTTTTCATTTACATTTCACGTGAAATGATTCAATCTCATTGTGTGAATATTACAATATTTAAACAGTCAGTACCATAATAGAGAGTGTGATTCTGAGCTCTGAAAGATTCTATTAAAGATACCTTTTTAGGTACGTCAAACAGTGCAAAAGCAATAGAACACGCAGGCCTTAGTATGGGGCCTTATACTAACCCCTTAGTACCAGGGGTTAGTATGGGTTCAAATATCCGTAAAAAGAGGGGTGCAATAGTATGCAGGTGCAATTGTCGTGGGTTCAAATCACGGGTTCAAATGTAATGGAATCTTGAAATCAAGCATTACTCCTATTCACATGATCCAGAATCTTTACTGCCTGTTAGTCGACGTTTCACTATGACAGGCAGAGTTAGGATTCTGTCGCCTAGGATCTTATACATTAATCTAGTCTGTTGAACATATTCATGTCGCATGTATCCCGCACGATTCCAAGCTTGCTTTCTGTTCAACTATGAGAAAGAAATTTTCGAAGATTGGAATCTATTTTTTACAGCTTTAAGTGCTCGCATCGAAAAATGGTTTTGCATATTCAATGATTCAATAGGTTAGCACCGTGGTTCAGAACCACTTGATTCGCAACGCAATGACGTTCCGGGCAGCCTCCTCGTCGGTCCGTGGGGAGTTTTCTTGTTCAGTTACTTTTCTGCCAGGGCACGCATAATCGGGGGATTTGTCTCCCGTTGTTAATTAAATTAGTCGTTTGACGGTGGTGGTATTGATTGCCCAAGTTTTTTTTTTTGTTCCCGGCCCGTGAGATAATTTTATTTGATGTTACCTATCCGCCGATGGGAAAAGGTTGGAAATCACTGGTTCAGTAGACCCGACTTAAGTAATATATATATATATCTGGTAAGTAAGATAATATATCTGGTACTTTTTTTCTGGTACGCACGTTACGTTTTGCCAAGGAACTACGAACGTGGCGCCATTTATTCATGCTTGATGTATCGGGCGAACAGAAAGATAAATCATTGTAGCCATGTTTGGGTAAAGCATCAGTCGATGTACTGTTTTAATTCTATATTGTGAGATAAATAGTATCAATGAGAATGTTGTGTTTATACTTTGTTATTTTGTCCTGTTCATTATTTTGACCAACAATGATATGCTGAACTAGCGGTTATGGTCTATAGTATACGAGAGACCAATATATACTACCCAGATCCGACCCACGAGGACAATTCATCCGGCCTGCCACAATTCGTTTTTAAATATGGAAGTTTAATTGAAGAAATCTGCTCCCGTAATTAACTTTGTTTGGCAAACTATGTTCGCCGTGATTGATTTATGGCGCAATAACGCCGTTGTTTCATTATTAAAGCGACCCGATGCCTTATATCGTTAACTTGAACAAAGACAAGGACAGTAGACATAAAGTTACTATCGGGTAGGGTAGCATGAAAAATATATGAGAAGTTAAAATTTCCAATTGTCGTAAATTTCTAATTTAGACCGTAACAGTTAGCAGGTCAGGTAAGAGGCCGGAAAACTTGGGGTTTCAAGAGTCTGTCTTGGAGGTCTAAAAAGTGTCTCAAGCTACGAAAAATTGCTGGGTATGATACAAAAAGATGTCTTTTTCACATTTCAAAAGTATGGTTCTGCCCCCTCCCCCCCCCGGATACATACATTGAAATAAAAGTGAAAGTAACTGCACTTCAATACACAGTATCATGGTAAGCTATTGTCACATATTGTGTCAATATTAATTGCTTTATATATATATATAAATTTGTATATAAGACTGGCACAGTATGCTATTTTCAATCACAAATTTCCTCTCGGATAAGATTATAATGATATTTCATTCTGTAGCAATACTATTATCACAAGACAGAATTGTAATTCAGTTCCTTTTGTCACCAGGTATGCAATTAATGTCCAGCTTAACACTCGATTGTATAAAGCTGTGCGAAGATTCCCATGTTATGCATCGCACTGTATGCAGCTACTACATTTTCAAGGCTTGGAGTCGTATTGGGAAACAATGTCCAAATCATCCATTCTCCTAAAAAAATTATATAAAACAAATAAACTCTCAATATCAAATAAATTCCACCAATTTGACATAAATCAATCGTAAGAAAGACCAAAATTTCGAGTTGCGTCATTTCATTAAGTTAATTTCAATACTTTTTTCTGATGCGCATCTTTTTATACAACTCAATACTTCAGCAGTGCAAAATATAAAAATTAATTTAAAAAAAATTAAACATATAATATTCGCACTTCAGGCTTTAAAATTATTTTATTTGCGTGAAAGTTCCATGTGGCATACAATTTAATTACGCCAGTACACAGGGGTGTTTTAAATAAAATTAATTACAATAGACCTAAATTACAATTGGCCCTAAAATTTGGAATGATATCCCAGACATTCTAAAAACATTCTCAATGCAGATAATAAAGCAGATAATATTGAATATAGACTTATTGAAGGAAACATATTTCCACTGGAAGACGGAACTGTCGATTTCGTCAATTGCGCAACTACTGCCCATTATTTGGACCTCAATTTGTTTGAGAGTGAATGCGAAAGAGTCTTGAAACCAGATGGTTGTGCTGCTGTTTACGCATATGCTCCTTTCACTATCAAATCTTTGGAAAATGAAATACTGGCTGAAATTAAACAGGATTCTGTATACAAGCAGGTAATGGTGAAGTTTATCAGGGACTGTGGGGCCCACGAAGGAAACCTAGCAGTGTTAGAAAGATACAAACCGATATACGACCAGCTTAAAAACGAAACAAAGCAATTCAAAATCTTAGAATCAACTGTTCCGTATACTGTGACAAACTTCCTGAAGTTGCATGAAACCGTTTTTGGGTACAGTCGTTTTCGTGGTCGCGGTGGTAAAGACCCATTAACTGAGTTCGGAATTTCTTTGAGAAAGTTACTCAAACTGCAAAACAGCAATAGCCTGAATACAGCCCTACAAAATGTTTACAATAAAAAACTGAAAAACCAACTTTTTCTGGGGGCGACAGCTCAACGATAGAAAGTAATCGCGTAATTTATCTCTCGTTGCCAGTGAACGTGACACAGGACATGGCGTGTTGTAATCTGCTCTTCTGTTAAGCAGCGTATAGAGTGCTGAAATAAACAATAACCATCCTTCTTTAAATCATGCTCCGCTCCTTTAGCTGTTAATCTGGCGTATTTTGTGGTTTCAGCAACTCTACCCTAGAAATAACGAACTCAGTTAACGGATCTATATCATCGCGACAACGAAAACACTTGTATCCATGAACGGTTTCATGGAACTTTGGGAAGTTTATCATAGTATATCGGACAGTTGATTTTAAACTTTTGAATTGCTATGTATCGTTTTTAATTTATACGCTCTCATGACCTACATCGCCCGATATGGTTGGGCATTCAGTTCTTTGTTGTAAATAATCCACATGCATTATAGATATAATTGTACTTTCTACACATCGACGGTATGAAATAAGCAGAAACACAAAAATAAATTATTCTGGAATACGATCAAAAAGTTCAATATCAATAGCTCATCTTTTGAGAAGCCGCCTTATGTTTGTCATTCATATTCTATTGATCAGCGCAAACTGTCGCGATAACATTGCCATGACATCTTCCAGCCGGCGCGGACAAAACGTGTTTATTAGAGGTCCAACAATATATATATAACTTCAACCTGACTGGCGACCAGGATTTCCTGTGCCTCGGGGTTCAGAGTCATATATAGCGAGTTCATCAACTGTTAAAAATTGCAGGTATTTGTCCAGTCCTCAGAATGTTCGTTTAAATTCAACCTTTTGTTGTTTGCATTGTTATTTGATGTCTTTAGATTTTTTTTTGTAGTTTGTGTCAAAACTTTGAAGTATGCTACTCAAACACAGGTTATTATTCTCTGTTTAATCAATTCCAATATTTTGTTGCCGGTCCGCGAGATCATTTCATTTGATGTCACTGGTCCGCCGAAGAAAAAAGTTCGAGAATCACAATTTTAAATGAAGCACTCACTAGAATTCGCGGTCACAAGCTCCCGGATGTATGACGGTACTGCTAAAGTTATGTTAGCACAACTTTGTGATGACACATCGACGATATAAAATAAGCAGAATAAGAAAAAAAAAATTATTATGGAATACGATCAAAAAGTTCATTATTTATCTTTTCGGAAGCCGTCTTATTTTTGTCATTCATATTCTATTGCTCAGGGAAAACTGTCGCGATGACATTGCATGACATCTTTTAGTTTAGACTGCGCAGACAAAACGTGCTTATTTGCAAACTTTAGAGATCCAACAATATATATCTTCGAACGTCAACCTGACTGGAGAGTGAGACCAGGATTTCCCGTACCTTGTGATTTAGGGCATATATGGTAAGTTTGAAATTGCAAGTATTCGTCACGTCTTCAGAATATTTGTTTAAATGTAATTGAAGAAATTCAAAAATTATTCTGGAAAGTATTCGAAGAAATATACCTTGATATCCCGAATATTCAATTTGATGTTGAGACTTTCGTTTTAGATAAATACTCCAAATTAGCTAAGATTCATTCAGTTCACCTGAAATTACATGAATTTAGTCAAGCATATATTGACATTCTGTTCCCATCCCATTTTGAATTAGGTATATATATAATGACACATTGGTTGATATTATGTATTTAAGTCCCTACTCCCTACATATGAAATCACTTGAACGCGCAGCAGAAATGGATTTTGAAGATGTTTTATAGTACGGAAAACGAAATACTGTATTATTGACTGTTGTGATTGCTCATTTAAGTTTGCAGTTTGATTATTCAACATTAAAATTGATTGATATCAATATCATGATCCGCGAATACGAAGGTATAGATTTAGCAAAAAGTTATGATCAACTCCGTCCGAGTTATCCTGGGCAACTCGTAGAGGAAATTCTGGCATATCTAAGGAAAAATTGTGTCTATGGCTTTTCCAAGAGAATAATGTTGGACGTCGGTTGTGGTGGTGGAAAATCTACAAAAATATTCACTCCTTATTTTGACTCAATTCTTGGCATTGACATTAGTGAGGGCCAAATCGAATTCGCCAAAGAGAACAATAAAGCAGATAATATTGAATATAGACTTATTGAAGGAAACATATTTCCACTGGAAGACGGAACTGTCGATTTCGTCAATTGCGCAACTACTGCCCATTATTTGGACCTCAATTTGTTTGAGAGTGAATGCGAAAGAGTCTTGAAACCAGGTGGTTGTGCTGCTGTTTACGCATATGCTCCTTTCACTATCAAATCTTTGGAAAATGAAATACTGGCTGAAATTAAACAGGATTCTGTATACAAGCAGGTAATGGTGAAGTTTATCAGGGACTGTGGGGCCCACGAAGGAAACCTAGCAGTGTTAGAAAGATACAAACCGATATACGACCAGCTAAAAAACGAAACAAAGCAATTCAAAATCTCAGAATCAACTGTTCCGTATACTGTGACAAACTTCCTGAAGTTGCATGAAACCGTTTTTGGGTACAGTCGTTTTCGTGGTCGCGGTGGTAAAGACCCATTAACTGAGTTCGGAATTTCTTTGAGAAAGTTACTCAAACTGCAAAATACACCGGACGACCAGTTGAAGTTCAACGTTGTATACGAATATCCTTTAATATTGTTCTACAAAGCCAAATAATTACGTTAGTTCTAATCACAGCTCAGCGAAGCATGAATTGAAGATGGATGGTTACTGTGTATTTCAGCGCTCAATACGCTTCCCGACAACAGGCAATATCATCTGTAACGCACATTGGCAGCGGGAGATTGGTTACTTCCTGCTAGCGTTGAGCTGCCGCCACGGAAAAAACTTCTTTTTACTTTTCACTTCATCATTGTAAATATTTTGTAAGACTGTAATCAGGCTATTGCTGTTTTTTCATTTACATTTCACGTGAAATGATTCAATCTCATTGTGTGAATATTACAATATTTAAACAGTCAGTACCATAATAGAGAGTGTGATTCTGAGCTCTGAAAGATTCTATTAAAGATACCTTTTTAGGTACGTCAAACAGTGCAAAAGCAATAGAACACGCAGGCCTTAGTATGGGGCCTTATACTAACCCCTTAGTACCAGGGGTTAGTATGGGTTCAAATATCCGTAAAAAGAGGGGTGCAATAGTATGCAGGTGCAATTGTCGTGGGTTCAAATCACGGGTTCAAATGTAATGGAATCTTGAAATCAAGCATTACTCCTATTCACATGATCCAGAATCTTTACTGCCTGTTAGTCGACGTTTCACTATGACAGGCAGAGTTAGGATTCTGTCGCCTAGGATCTTATACATTAATCTAGTCTGTTGAACATATTCATGTCGCATGTATCCCGCACGATTCCAAGCTTGCTTTCTGTTCAACTATGAGAAAGAAATTTTCGAAGATTGGAATCTATTTTTTACAGCTTTAAGTGCTCGCATCGAAAAATGGTTTTGCATATTCAATGATTCAATAGGTTAGCACCGTGGTTCAGAACCACTTGATTCGCAACGCAATGACGTTCCGGGCAGCCTCCTCGTCGGTCCGTGGGGAGTTTTCTTGTTCAGTTACTTTTCTGCCAGGGCACGCATAATCGGGGGATTTGTCTCCCGTTGTTAATTAAATTAGTCGTTTGACGGTGGTGGTATTGATTGCCCAAGTTTTTTTTTTGTTCCCGGCCCGTGAGATAATTTTATTTGATGTTACCTATCCGCCGATGGGAAAAGGTTGGAAATCACTGGTTCAGTAGACCCGACTTAAGTAATATATATATATATCTGGTAAGTAAGATAATATATCTGGTACTTTTTTTCTGGTACGCACGTTACGTTTTGCCAAGGAACTACGAACGTGGCGCCATTTATTCATGCTTGATGTATCGGGCGAACAGAAAGATAAATCATTGTATCCATGTTTGGGTAAAGCATCAGTCGATGTACTGTTTTAATTCTATATTGTGAGATAAATAGTATCAATGAGAATGTTGTGTTTATACTTTGTTATTTTGTCCTGTTCATTATTTTGACCAACAATGATATGCTGAACTAGCGGTTATGGTCTATAGTATACGAGAGACCAATATATACTACCCAGATCCGACCCACGAGGACAATTCATCCGGCCTGCCACAATTCGTTTTTAAATATGGAAGTTTAATTGAAGAAATCTGCTCCCGTAATTAACTTTGTTTGGCAAACTATGTTCGCCGTGATTGATTTATGGCGCAATAACGCCGTTGTTTCATTATTAAAGCGACCCGATGCCTTATATCGTTAACTTGAACAAAGACAAGGACAGTAGACATAAAGTTACTATCGGGTAGGGTAGCATGAAAAATATATGAGAAGTTAAAATTTCCAATTGTCGTAAATTTCTAATTTAGACCGTAACAGTTAGCAGGTCAGGTAAGAGGCCGGAAAACTTGGGGTTTCAAGAGTCTGTCTTGGAGGTCTAAAAAGTGTCCCAAGCTACGAAAAATTGCTGGGTATGATACAAAAAGATGTCTTTTTTACATTTCAAAAGTAGGGTTCTGCCCCCTCCCCCCCCCCCCCCCCCCCGGATACATACATTGAAATAAAAGTGAAAGTAACTGCACTTCAATACACAGTATCATGGTAAGCTATTGTCACATATTGTGTCAATATTAATTGCTTTATATATATATATAAATTTGTATATAAGACTGGCACAGTATGCTATTTTCAATCACAAATTTCCTCTCGGATAAGATTATAATGATATTTCATTCTGTAGCAATACTATTATCACAAGACAGAATTTGTAATTCAGTTCCTTTTGTCACCAGGTATGCAATTAATGTCCAGCTTAACACTCGATTGTATAAAGCTGTGCGAAGATTCCCATGTTATGCATCGCACTGTATGCAGCTACTACATTTTCAAGGCTTGGAGTCGTATTGGGAAACAATGTCCAAATCATCCATTCTCCTAAAAAAATTATATAAAACAAATAAACTCTCAATATCAAATAAATTCCACCAATTTGACATAAATCAATCGTAAGAAAGACCAAAATTTCGAGTTCCGTCATTTCATTAAGTTAATTTCAATACTTTTTTTCTGATGCGCATCTTTTTATACAACTCAATACTTCAGCAGTGCAAAATATAAAAATTAATTTAAAAAAATTAAACATATAATATTCGCACTTCAGGCTTTAAAATTATTTTATTTGCGTGAAAGTTCCATGTGGCATACAATTTAATTACGCCAGTACACAGGGGTGTTTTAAATAAAATTAATTACAATAGACCTAAATTACAATTGGCCCTAAAATTTGGAATGATATCCCAGACATTCTAAAAACATTCTCGTACAAAAAATTTAAATTTGAGTTCATGAAATACATCATATCCAAATATTAAATGCAAAGTTTAAGTCCTCCAATTTCAATGGGATACTGATGTGGACATGTGTCTAATATGCTTATTTTAACTTGTTCTCCATGTATTGGTTTAGTGGATTTACACATATGACTAGTGCCTGATAGTTCATAGTTATTAATTTAATAACTGTATACCTACTTTTGGGCCACCCTGTATTTGTCATGGTATAGTCCAACTATATGGCTAACAAATTGCAAGTCAATATGTTTTGAAACCTAGCTAGATCTTGGAATTATGTAGGATACATTTTTGTAGCATTTTGTGATATTTATTCACTCTATTCTTCTTTCCAAACCAAGGTTCAAGATTTATCAATACTTGCTACATGCTCTTCATGTACGGCATCATATATATTTACATAGTGGCTTAGACATTCCTGAGATGTACACATACATGTGTACATTTTAAATATGTGGTTATTATGCTTTTCAGTAGTCAATGACCTGGGCTAACTGGGTAAATCTGAAGGTGAGAACCTAAATGAATTTCATTATACAATCCAGTATTCCTAATTCATTTTAATAATTAGATGTGTAGTGTAATCAGAATTTCATATTGTGAATTTCATATTAAATCTCATATGTTATAGTTAAAAAAGCATGCACTGTTGAATGTGAATCACAATACCATTTCATTATAACAACCAGTTTACTTTTGACGATTCAATAATTCATGGTTTGTCTAAAATTGATATTCATAACTTGTTTAATTGCATTAATATAATTGTTATATAATTTTTTTATTCTTTAATCATAAAACTCACTTGCTACATTCAAATATATTCCTCCACTCCTTAATTGCGGTTCATGCTACAATGGCTGGAAACTGGCCTCTTTTGGCCCTACAATTAGATTATAGTGTACTTGTATATATTATTCTTGGTATATCCTGCCAAATTAATCCATCGTTTTATGTATATTTCATGTCCTGTCATTTATTATTCTGCAAACAATTCTAATCATTTTCTGAAATCCCACCTATGCACAACAATAGGTTTGATATTATATAATTACTGTTTCAATTACCATTATGTGGTTGTTATGGTTTATTTAATCACATTTATCGATATTGCAATAAATTATTAAATTTGGCAATTTTTTGATACTCCTACCACCAAAGTTCAAGTTTGGGGGTAACCAAATTAATCCACTGTTTTATATATATCTCATGCATTATCATTTATCATTCTGCAAACATTTCCATTCATTTTCTGCTATCCTATCTATGCACAACATTAGGTCTGGTGTTATACCACCCTAGTAACCCAAAACTGCTCCGCTAAGTGACTTCTTAAATTCATGTGATGCTCCTCAATATTATTACATTGTCAATTACTGTTAAGCGGTTGTTATGGATTATTTAATTAACTGTGAGTGTGATTAAAATTTATCGATATGCGATATCTTAATAAATTTAACCATTTTTTTATACTACTACCACCAAAGTTTACGTTTGGGGTAGACTATGAATTTTTGTAAGATTTGAAATGGTTTTTGGACTATTGTAACTGTCTCATCTTTGTTTTTAATAAATCATATCTGCTTAAATTTGCATATGTCTATTTATGTACTATTGTAGTATTATTTTTTCATAGTGTTGAAATGATGTACTAATTAATTCTCATATATAGGCTCTTTTAGAATTAAGTATCTATTTTGGAAATGCACTCCTCTTTTTCTACCATTAAATTAATTTAAAACAAAAACCACATTATGTTACTGTTATAAATGTGTCACTTTTCACAATAAATTCCCAACCCTGATTAGATGAGTCCAAAATTTATCCTCGTTTTGTAAATAGTGTAAATAGTTCTCTATAAACTGAGAGTTAAAAAAAAAGAACCTGTGTCAATTTATATATTTATTCATGTGTTGTATTGGGTGGTAACTGACTCAGATGACCGTAACTGGTCGTATCGTTACCTCCCAGTCATACCGAAAACTTTTGTTTCACTTATTATGTTATTATTATATTTAATATTATGTGTTTTCTGGTTGACGACATAATAAATTCTCTCTCTCTCTCTCACGACAAAGAATCGTGGTAAAATAATTCAGGTAATCTGTCACAAATACGAAGCCATCTTTCATTAGAACGTTTTCCACTGCATGAAACAAGTAAATTCATTAATTTTAAAGCCTTTACATGCAGGGCTACTGAAACTATGGAACTTCCAGTTAATATTGCATGGGAATTTATGCTTTCTAAATTCACTCATATGGCAAAATTTGACTGATGTTTTTAATCAATTTTTACTGAAAAATATGAATTTTAGATCGAAAAACATGAAACATACCGATGTTAATTGTAGCTTTATTTAATTCATCTTTATTTCCGCTTGCGTATGCAGCAGTCATCGCCGTATCTTTAGATTCATAAAATAAGAGAAATTATTGCATTGTATGTGCCGGTTGAAGAATATTATATAATCTTAAATCTAGCATATCAGTAAAATGAATAATGTCGATTTTCCAAAAAAAAAAAAAACTGTATCGTCAACTTTCAAACTTATACCCCGTTGGTATGAAATTAGACGAGTAAATCCAAGGTAGTGGGTTCTGGACGATGCCAAAATATTACGCGTGAATTCTAAATTAAATATGTCAATAAAACACCGACATTTCTAGTGAAAAGTGCGGGAATAGAGGGAATGGGAAACATATATTCGATGGTGTTAACATTTCAGAATGAATTTATCTCACCATCTTGTTTTCTGTCCTCGTGATATACTCCTGATCTTTCGAGATTAAAATGAGAAATCCAGTCTACGTATTTCAATCTAGAAATAAATAACTATTTGAATCGACGAATAAATGTTTTAATAAATAATATTTAATAAATTTATATTAATTTTAATATTATCTGAATGAAAGATGATGCGATGAACATCAGCTTGTTAGTCTTGAACTTGGAATGTCATCAGGTTGACTACAGCTAACATCACATTGAATGAATGTAGCTTTAAGCGTTCAAAGGCCTTAATATCACAATACTATTACACTTTCTTCAAATTTAACCCTCCAGTGTACGTTCGCAAGTTTACTTTGAACCCGTCGTCGGTTTCCGTGAAGTTTGATACGCGTTCACACATAGTATTTGAAGATGCAACATCGATAGTTCGTAATAGGCTGTACCACGTAGTGCCTGTTAACTGAGTTAAAAAGGAAATCGCGTGTTTATTAAAAAAAACAAAAGTTTCGGGACGTGATAAAAAATAATATTATAAGTACATTTTAGTGTCCGTGACTTGATAATATAGAGATTTAAAGGATATACAGACAATACATAAATAAAAATGATGAAGCCTGGAGTAACACTATAGATGAAAAGCTGTTGCAAGAAAGTGACAGCAAAACCTGAATTCAATAGATAAATATAATTTTTTTGAAAATCTCAGAATTTGCTCTAGAATTGACAAAAGTGATTCTGTATTCTCTACCTTCTGTATGTTGAGCTCTTGTACTGAATAAGGATAAAAACACTTTTGTTCAAAAGACAAAGAAGATGAAATCAACAGAGATGCTAGAATTGTTAGAGCATGATACATGGTGTCTGTACTAATAGATTAACAAAAAATGGTTCATATTGAATGCTTAACGAATTTATAAACCGGTTTTGTTAATGGCTATACTTTTACTGAAATTTATGTCGTAAGTATTGAAATAAGTTAGGAAAAACAATTTTACTGTCTAAGTTCATTTCGTATTACGTATACATTTACATATGTGTACTTCACACGCGGACATGTTAGCATACGCATACAAATGTTACCATATGATTATTGACATTTAAACACAGTCTTTTGTATATCGAACGCTTATTCCACCATTCTATTCCATTGGCAACTGACAGCTAAGGCTGGTAGACGAATGATACAAGAACGATCCTCCTAAACATGCTACCTTTATACATTCTCAATAGATTGATTGAATATATAAACACCACCTTATCAATTTTATTTTCAGATATACAGTATTTCCTTGATACAAGATTACAATTTCCGTCTTCCTGTGCTCATTTTATCCGTGGACTATGTCCTACAAAAATTACTTCGAAAACTTCACAGAAATATATTGTGTATTAAACTTAATTTATCAAAAATTTAGTCTCGAACACATGCCTCCGTTTGACAATTTAAATACCATGCTGTTTTTTGACAATAATTACATAAAATAAAAGGTTCTCCCGAAGTATGTGAACCAAGATGGCGGACACCTGAACGTAGTATGTTTACCAGGTTACGGTTATGCCATAATTTCAGGTACAAATACTACGATAGAGTCTTGGCTATTAGTCCCCGAACTCGTAATATAACTAAAATATAGAAGATTGGAAAAAATATCATGGCCTAACCCTAACCTGGTACACATACTATGTTCCGGTGTCCGCCATTTTGGTTCACATACTTCGAGAGTACCAAATAAAATAACCTTCGCGCGAGAAGTATCCTTTGTCATAATTGAAATAATAATAATAATACAAGTTTGTTCTCAAAAATGTTTACTCATGTTGTTTATGGAATAAGCATGCTAGGATGAAAGGTTCAGCACATAATTTTATGAATGGCAGTCTGGCCTATTTCTATTTCCTTTATGGACATTGTTTGGAAATAATGATATCGAATGAAATACGTTTTGCAAGAATAATGTTCTCTGTTATTCTCTGTCTCTGAAAATATCTATTTATCCTATTTAATAATATAGGCCAGCGGTTCCCAATATTTTTGTTCGTGCGATGCCAAATTATCAGGGAAAAACTCACGCGCTTTTAAACGAAAAAAATGCTGCCTAAATAAATAAAACGCAATTTTGTGATTGTAAATGGGCACTTTATGTCTTTTAAAGTTTGCAAACATATAGGCCTAAGGAATGAAGGCAAAAGGTCGACTCTTCTACCTTCCTGGAATACTAAAAAAATCACTCATGTTCGCTAAACTCGGTTCATAAGATAAATAAACTGAAGCCCGCAAACTTGCAGAAGATAGCATCTACCTCTGTTGTTACGTAACATGACATGAGCGGATACGCACAACGTCATTTCCTTATTTTCTTTGCAAACTGTAACGTGCTGCTAAAATACCAGTTACATTATCTCACTTTGAAGTTGAAGTTACTGAGCGTTTGATTTCGAGGTTAAGTAAATCATTCATGAGTCTCACAATATTAATTTTTGAATCGCAGAGAATTATAGACTGTCTGGAGTAGAAATTTTGATTTCTGACGTAAAGAATTATTATGTAGTGTTTTGCAGCCTGGTCTGTTGTAACCTGCACATTATTAGCATTCGGTTCAAATCTATATTACACATCAAAAAATCACTCTTCGCTAAAATCAATCCTTTCCGCTAGAAAAAATCAGCAACCTCTTTTATTTAATGGAAACGGATTCCAAAATATCGAAATACCTAAAGAAAAAAATAAACATTTACGAAAATATATAGAAGAAATATTGCTATATGAGAATAATAAAGTCGGGGTGTCCATCCAATACACTGAATAATCATCATTCTATGAGAATGTCATGGGTCTGTTTCAACACCAATGTCTGACTGAAAATCGGTGGTCAGCATAAAATAATTTATTTCAACGCAAGTGAATCTGTAGGCAAATGGCGTTTGGATTTGTGGATAAATTGATTACTTGACAGACGAAATCTGAATCAAGCTTTATGGAGTCAACATTCTAAACACAATAACATAATATACAATAAGTGAATTTTTATGAGATTATGAATTTTTGTCCTTTTTATAACGAGGTTTTTTTTCATCTCGAAATATATATTATGGGTTTTCTGATTTCGTAATCCAGTAATCAGTCTTTTTGTCACGTTGCCGGTATATAGATCAAATAGCACGGTATATTAAAATCAGCATATACAGATATGTTGTAAAATATCCTACGCCAATGCCTACTAGGTATTTTTCAAGATCTTTGCGTAAATGCTATTCGTACTGTAATATTGTTTTGACAGACAGAAACAGCAGCACACAAAAGTTTATTACGATAAATTCACCTGCGGGTCCTGTAGTGCGTACGTATATTCAACCTCGAGTGATGCGAAAATATACAGATATTAATCTGTGTTTATTCTTCGTATTCGTTCAGAGTGATTCTGCGCAAAACTTGTTTTTTTTTTTATGTAACAACAATTTTGTACGTAACAACACGTGGGAATCATGCTAAATATACTTAGATTCAGATTAGAAAAAGATTCATTCGTGAATATAGTGTTAGCTGACTCGTGTTATTCGCATCAAATCACTATATAAATATATTACTTTTATCATATCAATATGAATAAACATTAAAACAGCTAAATACTCTAGTCATATAAGCACGACGTTCGTTATTGGTAATTTTGGTTGAGCAGCGATATGTATGTAGTACATTATACCGTAAATAGCAGTGCAATTAAGTAAACCAGAGTGATCGTTGACAGAATCCGTACATGTCGATAAGGTATGGTCATTTTCACAAAATATGCAATATTTTCCAGTGTTCCCTTTTGCCAATCATGGGCTGTGATAATATTTTACTACGTTATTCAGGGCATCAAATGTGCCCAAAAAAATTCACAAAAATTTTTATGCAACATAACAACAACAAATATATATGTCCCATTCTTCAAATTTGGCTTATACGAGATTTTAAACAACCTTTTTCCAAAATATCTCAGAGAATAACTAATTTTAGTCATCGGTGGAGATGAATTATACATATAACTGTATTTCTTATGTCAAGTATTAGGGTGAAATCGTTTTCACGAGATGGAATCGTTACCCTATAACTCAGGGGCCGGGAATCTTTTTGGTCAAGAGAGCCACAAAAGGTACATATTTTTAACTGCATTTCCGTGCGAGCCATATAGCATTTCTTCACTTAATCAGGCCTGAAATTTTTACACGAAAGTCAACACATACAATGTCAATATACATTTAATGTGACTTCTGATGCTGCTTGTTTTCGCCGCGGGCCTTGAACGGCTGCTCACATGCAGCACAAGTTGAAATTTCTGTCAAATTTGGCTATAGAAGAGTTTGAAATCTCGTAACAATGATAAGCTTAGCCTTAGAATACTAGATTTTCCTGGGAGCCATATGCCGTCACCAAAAGAGCCATATATGGCTTGCGAGCAATGGGTTCCCGACCTCTTCCCTATAGTGTTTGATGGTGGCTATTATAGTGTTATCTTCCATCTTGAGTTTTAGTTCTAATATTTTAGAATGCCGCTTTTTAATCAAGAAATTTGAATTGCGGATACTATGATTTTTAGCATTTCGTCGCCGATGATTATAATATGGTAACATGTTTTTCACATTGAACTCATAAATCCCCACGAGAACGAAAAAGCAATTATCGTCGTCATTGTGGCGTCATTTGCAGAAGGAAATTTTTGATTTAGGGAGACACCGGCGTAAAGATGTTTGTGGTTTAAAAACACGCCATGCTGACGAAAACAATCGGCGATTGTAACAAAATGCATTCGCGCACGTTATTAACGGCCTTTTAAGTCTTCCAAATATGTCAAGAGGGGAAAAGATTCTACCCCTAATTTATTAATATGTTTGTCATGTGTCAAATATACAGCTCTAGTATATACAATTTATCTTTGAAATTTAGATTTATTTATGACTTGTATTAACCCTTTTAAAAAGGTTTAGTATTCAAATTGAGTACGTTTAGCTTACTCAGGAATATTAATCGGAAAGTAACAATTTATTTTGGAGCTCCGTGTTAAATGTTATATAGGTATTTTTCGTCATTTTTCACTTTCTCATTCAATGTACAGGCTTGTAGTTAAGGATAGGAATCATACGGTAGCGATATATGAAGTTTTGTAAAATAGTTCCTTTATATATTAGCTATTGTTACCTTATTAGCAAACTTCAATTATGCATGTAAATTTGCAGCAAATACAATATACAATGCTTCTCGTATTTTACATAATTCAAATATTGCACTCAGCATATTCACTGGATTCTCCTAGAATGCTGTATTCTGTTAAAATACAACACAACCCAGGGTTTTTTAGTTTGCTTTTCAATCCGACCAACGGACACTATGACTTGGTGTTTTCGTCTTTCACGCGTTCAACGTAAGTACAAAATATTTGAGTCTGGTTTCATGGAAATTCATTCAGTTTCATATCTATAAACATGTTAATGCTATTTAATGAATAATAGGTTGTTTTGGGCTACTCCAATGGATTTTCTGTTCAAAGGCACGCATTACGTTCGTCAATAGATTGCATTTCCGAAACAGTTTATTATCTTGTTAACTTTTATTTTATCCGGCAGCTTGATATCTGACAAAATTTTGCAAATCCCTTCCGTTTCTATTAAATACAAGAAAAAATCAAAAATGGTACCGCAAGTGATCACGGATATTTTTACATCGCCAAGACAAATTGGCGTCGTTCCAGGTAAAGTAATGAAAGTTATCGATACATATGTAAACTTAGTGTCCAATAAATGGATAGTTTTGTGTTCAGATGTACCGCAGGATAATCCCATTTAGTGCAAACATGGACGCTCTCGCCTCAAATTAGGCTTTGGCATTGCCAGATACAAGAACTAAATTGTACTCTTATGGTTGGCACAAATAAATTTTAATTTTAACATCCATACCACACCATACTTTCAGCTGGTGCGTTTGGAAAATATCACTATTTGACGGCTGCTACTGGATTCTTTTTTCCTGGGGCGGACAATGGATCAATATCAATAATTAACACGACGGATGCAAATAGTCCAGGAGGTTAGATTAGGAACATGAAAAGCATTCTTACGAACGAATGAGCATGAGATGCGGAAATATACTATATATATATAGTTAAGCTTAAACCATGACATGATAGACATTTTCGATAAAACTGAGTTGTTGCTTTCTTTTTTATTCGTGACTGACTAAATGTTTATTGTTATCTTCGCTCATTTTTGAGCTATATTGACAAACACAGATTGCATTCGCACTAGTTTCAATAAATATAATGTACAACAAAATATAATATTTATCAAAAAACTTTTTATTGAGATCCCATCATAATATCGTCCACCGTAGGAGGCCAGAAGTGGTTTTATCATCGAGTAATATGGTACGATGTGGACGGTGATGGCGACCAGGATGCTATTACACAAAGAGCAAGAGGAAATGGCTGTAAGTCTGCAACACATGGAATAAATAATCTTATAAAAAAGTTGTCAGAAATATCAAATGGTTTCGACAGTCCAATACGTCATTTTTGTTTTCCCTTTTAAGTTTATTATTGACAAACCAATAAAATTACAAACCTATCGTAAATATCGACCATTTTATCTTTGTAAGAATGGTGCAGCTTAGTCGACTTACTTAATGCTTGTTCTATACGCTCAGCTCTTATTCATGACTATCCCTAACAACTAGAAAGTTTCCATTGTTTCATTTCTTCCACTTGTTTCAACAAAATTTTTGAAAACGACTCATGCAACTCTATTGCATCTATTGGCGAACCCATCGTTATCATAATTCACAAAGAGTTAGCGCAACTGAAAACCTTCTGAAACTACTACAGCAATAAACTATTTTTGTATAAACAGCACATGCAGATGCTTCACAACTGCTATGGTTTGAAAATCCAGGAATTATTCCACCTCCTACAAACTGGAAAGCGCATATTCTAAGCACAGGATACGAAGATGTTAATTTTGCAATTCACAAACTTCCTTTACCAGGCGGAAGAGAGACTCTTGTCATTATAAGTGGAGGATTCTTCAGGTTGTAGATAACTTATGTACCATAGATAATTTTATAGATGTAACCCGCATCCAAAGTTTCGGATCATCTTTTATATGTATTTCAAGAACTTGTAGTTTATTAGAATCCTATTCACGTAACTGTTCTCGGGCAGTACTCATTTGAATATTACGAGGTGTGTGCGATATTGACAGACCGCAAGAGATAACATTGGTATATATATTATGGTTACTGTACTATTAGGAATTTTCTATCGGTATTATTGTGCTCTTGATCGAACGCTCTTTGGAATATGTTACGTTAACTGAATTATTTACAGTAATCGCTTAACAATAACCTGGTCGATAGATAACAATTGGAAAAAACAGACATCAATAAGACATCGAATAATTGACGACGCTGGATGGTATTTGGATTTGCAGGTAATTTGCTGATAAAAACTGTATCATTCGATAATACTTCAAGACAAAATATTGAGTAGCAGCATAAATATGATGTGCCCTGTGTTACACAACCAAAAAATATCTATTATAAATTTAATCAATTAAATGTATTCGTATCCTAAAAACAGTTGATGTGGCGGTATTGCGATCATCGCTAATTATGACCTAGCAACTCATTCCGATCATGTTTCTCGGGAATGCAAAAAATATCAACCAATCATTGTTATGGAAAGCATGAGACATAAGCGATTTTCGTGTTCACGAATTTAGATTGTCGATGTAAACGATGACGGAATAGACGACGTGTTGATTACTACTTGGAGTAGGCCTGGGAAAGAAAATATTGGGGCAGTCCTAGTTTATGAAGTTCCTCGCAGAGACTGGAGAATAGATAAATGGCCGAAGTAAGTGACTCGAACATGTGCTATGTATAACAAACAACGATATAGATTTATTAATGTATAAGTGTACATTATATTGTTATATCAAAGCTCAATTTGTAGATAAGTTGGAAAACAAAAGAGTGCATTCGCATTTAACATGCGTTCACGCTACGTGGCGAGTATTCCATTTTCGTGTTCATACAATTTGTTCTTGCTGTGTTGTTGTCGTAATCAATTCACAAAGATCAAAATATTGATAATAATATTCTGATCTAAAACACCATCTGTTGCAAAATTTGAATACGGAACTCAACAAAATTGAGAAATTCAGTATACTACTTTTTAACTATGCCGTCAAGATTTACACGATATCTACAATTATTCAGGCATGTACTGTCTACTGATTTTGAACAAGATCTGGGACGTTCGAAAGGGAGTCCAGGAACACCAGTGGCATTCTGGCGTCTACATGCGGCAAAAAAGAATAGAGAGTAAGTCTTGAATACCTATTAAATGTTAAATAAAGCTGTAAGCATTTTTCATTGTTTTTGTAATAATGTAATCAACGAATAACTTTTTGATTGTCATAAATAATCTGAAAATGTGACTGGATTTATTCAATGATATCATAAAATCTACGTTAAATTCAATAAAAGGCTTTTAGAATATATATATATATATTACCTGGCTTGGATTTTCCAAAATATCTCACAGTGCGATATATTTATATGGCTCTTATGATTTTTCGGTACTTCACTTGCTAGACAATAATTTGTAAATGAAAGCCAATTTCATACAAAACTGTTTATATCTTTGTTTTTATACAATTTCATCAATACAATCTCGAATCCTTCCTCAGGAAACCTCATATTGTTGTTAACGGCGACGATGACGGAAAACTGTTCCTGCTGAAACCAGACAGTGAAGATCCGAACGATTGGTCGTATACACAGTCGACAGTATGTATTATTGCAACAAAATATTTGTCAGCGATAATTAGTGGTTCGAGCGTTACTCAGCTATCTAGTTAAAGGTTTCAGAGTTAAACCTCCGATTTCTCCGATCCGATTTCAGGCACGTCGATTAATGTTTTGAAAAAGATTAAAAATTCGCGAAAATTAAAATTTGCCCCATTGAATAGATATAGAATACTAAAAAATTGTTTAAAGTTGTGACGGATTGAGCTCATCTGTTTGCTACCCAATTACTGAAAACCGATACTTTTTCCCATGAAGTCTAGTGATACTGAGTACACCTGAGTATGTTGACACTTCAACATGTGTGATACCACCCTATGTGTAGAGTACTAACAAAGAAAACAACGTGTTATATAAATTGTTCTTCCTAAACCTACAGATACTGTATGTACACTTGTTTAGGTAAGAACTGGTGCTATCACCTAACTCGAAATATGAAGTGATATTGTGCAATTCAAAGTGCGAATAACACCAGAAGCCCGATCTCAAATAGACTATCCAACACTTGTTGTTTAACTTTATTGCAGTTGTAATGAACATCAGCGAGTCAGTTTATTCCCGTAGTTACACACAATTTAATCTATTTAGATGACCATAACTCTAAATACTAACTAAATAAACAAAACAAAAAACATGAAAAAAAGAACTTACAAATAACAAATTTCAAGATCTTAGTGACAGAGGCGCGCTCTCTAAAATCACAGGAAGAAGAGAGCGACGTGCAGGAGAATTTACGGATGCCAGATTATGGGTCAGAATATACAGCCAAGTTGGCTCAATAAAATATATATGGGACTCGTCGTGTATAAACAAGGGAATAATACATTTAGTTAATTAATATGGCTAGGGAATCACTTTATTTAACCAAATATGAATGTACTACGCTTATAAACTAAATGATTATCACAAGACTGGCCTGGTTGCGAAAATAAATATTGCGAGAGACTTTTCTAAAACACAACCTAGTGCCCATATTTAAAATGAGAGGACATTTCTTACAACTTGTACAGTTCAATGGATAGCAATTTCAAAGTATTGTTATTGCTAAAACACTTTTTTTTTAGATTTTAAGCACGTCCGATTCTGAAATAGTTGGAACAATAGCTGTTGGGGATGTTGACGGAGATGGATTCATCGAATTCTTTATTCCAAATTACCGTAACCAACGAATCGTTGTTATGACTTACAAACCACAAAATTGGTGAATGTAATTTTCTGTTAAAGTATCACCTATTCCACGTTTTCGATTTTATTTAAATATACCGGAGTGAATTCGTTTCTAATGTTATTAGCATCCAGAAAATTGAATGATCTGCTTGAAATAAATTTATGTAAAAATGATTAAAAATAAATGAGTAATCCCAGTTAGACTGGATTTACGTTTGGACACAAATCGCTGATACAAGTATGAAACTTCAATTCAGTGGTTCTTAACCTTTCCGAGCCTGTCGAACCCCTGCGCTATTCTGCATACTCCCGCCGAACCCCATCGTACTGAACGGTTGGAATTTGGAGCCCACTCCTAACTTTATAACGGGGAAGCTAATTTTAGGAAAGGTTGTAGAAAATGAATAATAATAGTGTAACATTGGATACCAATACCCGCCTGGAAATAGCCATTGTTTTGTCACAATAGTGTCGGCGGCAGGAAAAGCAGATGTTCATTGTGGTATAAGTTATGAGAGTGAAGAGTCGAAAAACAGATAAAAAAAAAGACTTTGAAAATCCAAAAGACTAAAAGCTGATAATAGGCCTCAAAAACGTTGGTAGTTAAAGTCATTTGTTTCTCAAACTTCAAACTGCATTGAAATGCGAATAAAAAGTTTTGCCAATTGTTTTATTTTACAGAAATAGAGATACGATATGACTCGGCGCCATATTTAGGTTGTCCGGAACGAATGATGATAATTTTGAGCAAAGCTCTGCAATTAACTATTCTTTAAATTTGAGTTGGGTTGCGCGAGACTAACTTCCTATCTTTTCTCTATGCCTTTACGCTAGTGGATCCGTATGCGTATACTGCAAGGATACTGTAGCTGGAATAAACATGACTATTCCATTCAATAAAGAGTCCAGCTGCACACTAACACAAATGTATTTCTGTAACGTTTCGTCCGACCAGAGTCAGACTTCCTCAGACAAGCAGTTTACAACAATCAAACTGCTCTCAATACTGTATCTAGGGATGCGGTGTATTCCACCATATCCAAAAATACCCCTCTATTAGAAGAGCCAGCCCCGTTCATCGTGCCCACGGAGGGACAGCTCGTGACAACCAATGAACTTCAAAACATCTATCAATCGACCGAGAACATGGCGGTTTTTCTCGACGTTTTGGTTGTGCCGACGAATAGAAACCGCGCGTCCTTCATCCAACTGTGCTGCAATATTAACATTTCCGAATGTTCGGTATTTTACTGCATTGTCCATAGAAGATTGATGATCCCTGGCACGCTCGGAAAGATGTTTAAGATCTCTAAAACCAAATTTACATCAACGTGAGTCACGGGCGGTAGCAAAAAGTAGGCAATAAAAACAAAAAAGTGCATTTTTGTCCTCGCTATAACACAACCATTCGTGTTTTATTATACCAAGTTTCTGCGCAGAATGTACGCCGACGCTTTCCTCCGTCATGGGATTGTTCCAGTGAACAATTTTTTTGGTTGATAAGGCTCAAGACGTTGTACCTCTAATTTTTGTTCCAGCGGCAACTGCGAAAATGGAGTGCGAAGTAGTGCTATAGTGATTAGTTATCACTACACATAGATTGTTTGTAGATTGGTCTGGATTATGTAGTATAACCCCAGCATTGACTGACAATAGTTTTGTCTTGCGTTCGTTAACTCGAACTGTCTATCTGTCGATAGGCTTCGGCTGTAGTAAGGAGACGTTTGAAAACACCTTATGAGTTTATTTCAATTCCGACAATATATACAGAAATACAATGTACACACAATTTGATCAAATCTAGTCTGATTAACACAAAACACGTTGCTGAATATATAGCTTTCTACCAAGCAATTAAAATAGAATAAAGAAACAGATTTTTACATCAACGATTAAAGAATCACGCGTCATTCCGGTTTCTGGTTAGCTTTCGGTTCACTATAATCAAACATTATTAAAAGTGTTTTCTTGAAGTTCATTACTAGCAATTAACTTGTTATTGCCAAGTCACCGTGTTCCTGGTCACGTACTTACTCCAATTTTGAGATGTAAAAAGTTGTTCTCAAGTGGATAACTTGGTTTTAACAAGATATTTCGAATTTACGTTATTGGAATATTACTGGAAATAAATTTTATTTTTACATGGGATGGCACCGAAAGGCTATTAAATCTTGAAATTGGATTTTGAGAAATTGATAATTGCTATAACGGGAATAATTAATTCTGTTTTTCATGAGTTTCTCACGAATTGGGTCAATTTGGTGTAGTTTTGTAGTTACATAACAACTAATTGGCTACAGTGCATCAACCTTATTCATTATGAGGTCTAAGGCTAAGAAATGCGAAGCCGGAAAGAAGTGAGGAGCTCAAAAGGAATGTGGAAAATCGAAAGCAAATGGACTAAAGGTCTCTAACTGATTCAAATAGCGAAACAAGCGACAAAAACGAAGGCGAGGAAACTATCAACTCTTCAAGCAACCAACGAACGAGAAGGAATGCGTGAATATGTCAACACGTTGTTGTAAGAAACGTCAGTATTGTGTCGTCATAATTTCGGGGCTAGCCCGATCGACCCTGATGATTTAGTAAAAGAAACAGAAAACGAACGAGACAAACGCGGCGAGTGGAAGATAAAAGAGAGAATACGATATACAATGAGCAACCGGGGCAAAATCGGCGTCGCCCCGTCGACGCTCGGCGAAGGCTTTGCGAGCGAAAAATGAACCATGTCGGGAGAATATGGCTAGTGTAGACATATATTGAGGTATTTTTCGAATATTTTTTATTATACCGTATAAACAACCGGGGCATTGCCCCGGTTGGCCCTATTGACGCGCCGCCACTACTATTTTCACATGATTAGTAGACGTGGTAATATAAAAGTCCCATATGATAAAACTGTTTCAGATGAGCTCCGTCGAACCCCTGTAACAGCTCCATGTCAATACCGTCCCGTTGATGATTCAATCTGGCCGCATGATGCTGCCATAAATTTATACTTCCAATCAATTCCGTATGGACTACATAGTTGTTGTTATTGAAATTGGTATGGTGCAATAGGCTTGTTAGATTGTTTTTAGTAAAGCGATTTCTCAAAATTTTGTTTCGTTTATTAGTGCCGACTCGGCACGGTGGTAAGGTGTTTTTAATCACGTTGCAACCATGACAAATAAAATGTTTTGAAGTGGATAACAAGTTTTGGAAAGGAAATTTCGAATTTGAATCGTGCGCTTGCTTTGTGCGTTCACGCGCAGCCCCGAGATTTAATGTAGTGCCGACAAAGTTTTGTTAACGTCACATAACGCTTTCTTAACGTTATTTTCCAATTATAGTTTACGTATTCTTGCAATGTATTTGAGTCTATCGTTTCTCGTAGTTTATGTTGCGACATCCCGTCTCTGCACCCTAACTCGTGAAGATTGATGAGTGCATCAGGGAAGAAAAAAATCGATAGCTAGAGCAAAGCCATCAAAAAGGAATGAATTGTCAAATATTTTTTACAGAAGTTGTATCGACCGCAGTGTGTCTTATATGCCAAAAAAGCGTTACTGTTTTAAAACAATATATACAATATTCGTCGCCACTGTAACACAAACCATTTACGTCACACTGACGTGGCCCGCCAGTCTATGTGGTCAAAACTTTTGGCCCCGGGTCTAAAAACCTTGCCCGGGCCTGGTCTAAACACTGTGATTCATAGACAGAACAATTTTTTTCAACCCATAGGCTGGTATAAAAATATAACGGATGCAATCTTTTAAATTTTATATCTCAAACTCCATAATTTAACTGCTATAGCCAGTGTTGGGATTCAATTTTTTTGTCAGCCGGTTTCATTACAAAAGTCATATTTTTCAGCCGGTTCTGCTACAAAAAGTCTTATTATTTAACAAACTGATTATTTTTAATTACTTCCTAATTTTTATTTCATATTTGGTTAAGTAAGCATCATCATGTCAAAATTGGCATCGAAATTTTTGATGATGTTGATTGAGGACTGTCTATATCAGGTTGGTCCAAGGTTGCGAAGTTGAAGAGCCGCAGTCAGAGAAAACCCAAAAGTGATCAAAACATCGCGAGTTTACTCACTTTAAATATATTTAGGAATGAGATTTTATCATTGTAATCAGTTTTTCGAGGAAAAATTAAAAAGTCTTCAGTTATTTTAAATGTATAACTGTTACGTGCGAACTTGATCATTTCACATTCTGAAAGAAACACTTAAGCTACTTGATCTCTGAAATCGTTGTGTCAGATAAGATGCAAAAATCCATTGACAGTAACCAGCAATGCTGAATCCCAACACTGGCTATAGCTACACATCAGGTAAGGTTGTGTTGCGCCGACGAAAACCTGAATCTTTTGAAGTATAACTAACTTGAAAGAAGGTTGAGGAAATAGGATATCATATCTTATAATGTGAAAGCGTTTGGGCACTTTGTTTTTTACTTTTGGAAGTTTATGTAGTAACATTAATATAATATACTTGTAACCGTAAAGATGTTATTTAAATATCGCAAAATTGAAGAGTTTACGAAATTACTGTGTATGGATGTTTTCCCGAATCATGATCTCAGAAAAATTATTCCTATATACCATTGAAACTATACTATACCATTGCCCTTGCTATAAAAAATTTTAATATACAAATGAAAAATTTGTGATGCCGATTTTGAGAATATTTTCGCGCGTCGTCGTTTACAAAATGATTTACTAGTTCGGTAATATTATTTCGAAATATGTTCAAATTTGCACTTTATGTACTAAATGTTAGTATTGTTTTGCTATGTAATTGCATAGCAGAGATATCCCGCGCGCGCAACGTAGATAGAATACCATGTAAAGCTAGCAAAATACTATGAATGGTCCTATATAAAGCCGGTATATGTTCAACATCGGTCGCACATTTTCTGTTACATAAGATATATTGGTATGACGTTCAGAATGCAAACTCACTGATTTGGTCTACACATCGGTCTCCAAAAAAATGAGTTTATTGGTAGCCTCCAAAAAAATGGTAATTTGGGCAAATCTATCTTATTTTTATTGTCACTTCTTTCCAGATGACTTATATATATATCAATTATATTGAAGTAAAGCCATTGTTATACAACCGAAACGCCAGTATATACATTTACAAATCTTGACGAATATAAGATAATCATATACATAATACTCGTTTTGATCTCTGAGTAAAATCTTTTTAACATGGTCCATAGAGGTAGTCAACATCGGTTGGCCTATTGTTGTCATTTAGATGAGTCTGGCATACAACTCCGTATGCGATTGAAGTTTCCATCCTATTTATCATCCCGTTATTGTCTGCTGTCTTGTTTATAGGTACCCTCAGCATAACTCTGTTATGAGCAATGGACGGTTCGGGGCTCCATTTTGCCCATTTGGTGTATACACCCTTGGGTGATATCACAAACGTCTAAAAATAAGTCAGTTCAATCTTGGGAGATGGCACCTTTAAGGCAATATTAGTTAAAGAGTAGGAAGTGCTGGCAGAATTCGATTGAAGTATAACAGCATTATTTTATCAAAATCATAAATTGCTTTTCTCATCAACTCCTAGACCAATTGCTTTAAAACGTCAGTAGTTAAAGGTTGTATGTTCGCTATATGATTCGTTTTTCAGTTCGAAAATTTTTGTGATGACCTCTTCAAAATTAATAAAAATTAATTAGCAGTCCTACGACAATTTTCGTGCTACCCGAAATTCGAAAGTTTTTGGACCGTGCCGTACAGTAGGATACGTAAGGGAAAGTTCTGTAAGGTAAGGTAAGGTAGAATATTGATTCGCTTTGGCTTTCGTGTCCATATATTTAGACATCTTTTTTCTTGTTTTAAAAAAATAACTACAAAATATTTCGTCGCGTATGTCTTAGCCTCTACCGAAACGGCTCACGCTTCAGCAACAGTTTTGGTAATTTTTTCAATTGTTCAATTATATCAAGTGGTCAAATATATACAAACCCCTTTAAACTCAAGTGTTCAAATTACTATTTTTCTAAGAGAGTTAATTACCTCAGGATCAATCTTTAAACTCGTCCATATTCTTCTATACGGTATCCGCTTTCCGGCCTCACATAGTCCATAAATGCGTTAAGAGCATTTTTATCTTTCGGAAAACCAACAACTCCTTTTTTTTCCCAACAGGCGTCAACCGCATCATTGTAATTCCTGATTATTTTTTTGCTTTTATCAATTTCAATCCAATAACAAGCCGGGCCTGCAGAATAAAGTAAGATCGATCAAGTTTATCATGTTCAAGAACAAGTTTCTGACAATGAGTAAAAACAGAGAGGTTTAAATATAACATGAAGCCTATCCGAGATATTTAATTAAACAATATTCTTAATCGTGATTCACTTTGAACCCGAATTGTTACCCGAACCCGAGTACATAGCGCGTTTACTACCAATAAAAAAACGATAGTTTATTCAATGATAGAATATTTGTAGAAGCGCACAGAAGTCCTACATATCATTTATCACTATAGGATAGTTTAGTGGTTCCTAAACTAGGATCCGCGGACCATTTGGGGTCCGTGAAGCACTTTCGGAGGGTCCGCGAAACAAATCTGTAATATGGCTAATAGCTTGATAATACAACAAATAAGTGCTTAAATTTGCAAATGCACATTTGACGCCTTTTCCTGCTTCACAATCACTGCTGGAGACAGTGATACTTCACTTTCTGTTTCGATCACGCTTCCACATTGTAAGCTGTAGCTTACGCTTCCCTTCAGCACGTTTACCAAATATCGAAACAGACTGAATGTCACACATGTCTTTAGAGTTGTGCTTTATATTCTTTTGTTCGTTTTACTATACGGCGCATTGATTTTCTGTTGTGATTCTTTAATGTTTTGTTTTAGTGAACAAGGCCGGGAATCAAAAAATTGCAAGGGGTCCGTCGTGAAATGTTTTTTCAAAAAGTACGAGAACCACTGTGATAGCTGCATATGCATTATATCCATCACATATCATGCCGACGTAATCACATCTATTGAATTATTAGATTAATTGGATGTCTCTGATGCTAATTACATGACTGCTTGAGAATTGTTTCGATTAATTGTAAATATATCATGAGAATGTACATGCATTTCAAATGCATTTTGCACCGGGCTATTAAGTAACAGATGGACAAGCGGGGACTCTGTTACATTATAGTTTGAAAAATTATTTATGCCGCTCCTTTTTTTCGGATTTTTATAACCAACCTGGATCATTTGTAGTCTTCTTCTCTGTTATCATCTGCGTAGTCTCAGTAGTTGTTGAAGCGACAGTAGTATTCGTCGGAGTTGTAGTGGTGATAGTAGAAGAAAAAGTATTCATATTTGTTAAAACCGCGACTACAATGGCGCAGATTATAGCAACAGCGGCAATCAACGAAATGATCGCATTTCTTCTGGTATTTCCTTCAAATAAAACATACCAACAATTTTAAATGTACATTTGATACACTTTATACTTACTTATTCCGCATTCAATATGATGTAGTAGTAAACATGATAGGTAAATAACAACATCATATTATTACCCATTTTATTGTGTTTCTTTGCTTCCCAACCGCTTCAGATACTTTTTCTCTGTTTGTTTCCCATATTCTACCTAAAATCCATTTATAAGTATTTATAATCGGAGTGCTATATTTACAGAAAAAGGAAAAATTATGTCATACCAGGTTTTTTGAATTTACAAAATTCTAATTGTAATTATTTTCAGGTCAGTCAGCGGGGCCGATATGTGAAAAGATAAAAAACTAATAAATGTATGTCTAACTGATACTAGCTAGATCTCAACTGCAATAGCCTCGCACATTGGGCAAATCGACGTAGCGCCAATAATAATAATACCAAATTATATTATAAATGTGGAACACGACTAAAATTGGGGATAATGGGTATACTCAATTGTAAAAACGCATATACAAAAATGTTGGATCACTATGTAAAGTGTACTCTTCTATGTCAATGTGGGTAAACCAATATATCTCGCGTCGTCGCAAAATTGCTAGTTTATTATTCCAAAGTGAAACAGTTATATAAGAAATTTTAATAATATTTCAAATTTATTCTTGGCTATGCTACTTTTTCAAATAGTCCTCGATGGCAATGCTATAGTTTGATTTTTATGTCTTGTTATAAATATCGGGAATAAAACAAGTTTGCTGTCTGAAATACTGGCAGTTCAAGCCGTCAATCGGCCATTTTAATTGACGTGAATACCACTTCTCTTCTATGTCATCTTACCGGACTATTCATTTACTCTTAAGAGACCAAATGCATCCAAAAGAAGCGTATGGACGAAGATATTTTGTATACTCTGCAAATGTCCAATAATTGAACTACCCAAAACTGTCTTGCTGTCTTTGCATTTTCAAAGTTCTATCTTGTATAAATCATCAAGCGACTACCTCTTGAATAAGATATATGTCTCAGACTGTGAGATCATTCTCCTTAATACCTTGGATGTTCTGGTTATGCGGCAGAAATATAAATTAACAACGATCGTCTGCAGATTACAGAAACATAAACTAGTTCATTCTTTCTCCACCATACAGGCCGGTTTCGGTATCTTTTTTTTCATCGCAGAACTGATAGGTTCACTTTCACCTAAAAACCCGCAATGGTTTTCTCAATACGACACTAGATGAAGTAGAAATTTTATTCGAATACAAAGTATGTCACACTTTCATAAGGAAACTGTCAGTATCGATTTTTTTGAATTTTGTATGTATGTAATTATTATGGCGTTCAAGATGCAAACTTAATGATTTTGTCAACACATCGTTGAGATATACAACATGCATCGTTTTCCAAAATAAAATGAGTTTATTGGCTTGCTCCAAAACATTGGCAATTTGGGCAAATCTAACCGATTTTTATTGTCAGTTCTTTTGCAGATGACTTATGTCAATTATATTGGCATTGTTCTACAATTGAAACGCCAGTTTATACATCTACAATTTAAGAGAAATTGACAGATAAGAAGTATCATGCGATTGGCGAATATAAGAAAAAAATCATATACGTAATAATCGTTTTAATCTCTGAATAAAATCATTTTAACATGGTCCATCGAGGTAGTCAACATCGGTTGGCCTTTTGTTGTCATTTAGATGAGTCTGGCATACAACACCGTATGCTATTGATGTGACAAACCAATTTGCCATCCCGTTCTCGTCTGTTGTCTTGTCTACATGTACCATCAGCATAACTCCGGTATAAATTATGAACGAAGACCCTAGGTCAGGTTTCCATTTTGTCCATTTGGTGTATGCACCCTCAGGTGATATCACATTCGTCTAAAAATAAGTCAATTGAATTTGAGAGATAGCATGGTTTAATTAAAGCTATATTAATAAGTTCATTCAAAGGTTGGAATTGCTGGGAGAATTCGATTGGGGGGGATAACAGCAATATTTTATTAAACTCATTCTAGTGTATCTATGGATCGTTTTGTTATTATGAGGTTGTTTGTTGTTTTCGCTGATATTTTTCTTCTTTTTATGAAAAAACTGCTTTCCTCATCTTCTACTAGACCAATTGCTTCGAAATTTTAGTGGTTTAAGAACGTATTTTTCGCTTGAGATCTACTACTTAATTTATTTCTAAACTCCCTGTGTGCTTTATGAGTCTATGTGATTCGATTTTCCGTCCGAAATTTGTGTGATGACCACTTCAAAATTAAAACATATTATTTGTAGCGGTTCAGCGACCTCTCTCATGCTACGCGAAACGCGTAAGTTTTTTCCATCGTACCGTACAGTAGACTACGTAAGGTTTCGGTAAAAGGTAAGGTAGGCTAATGCTTCGCTTTGGCATTCGTATCTACATATTTAAGCATCATTCTCTTGTTTAAAAAAATATAACTACAAAATATTTCGTTGCTTATGGTTAGCCTCTACCAGCCTCTAGCAACAGTTTTTGCTAATTTTTTCGAATTGTTCAATCAACACATGTAAAAACATATACAAACCTTTTTGAACTCAAATGTTTTGATTTAGTATTTTCTAAGACAGTTAATTACCTCAGGATCAATCTGTAAACTTGTCCATATTCTTCTACGGTATCCTCTTTCCGGCCTCACATAGTCCATAAATGCGTTAAGAGCATTTTCATCCTTCGGAGAACCAATAACTCCATTCTTTTTCAAACAGGCGTCAACCGCATCATCATAATTCATGCTGATTGATTTATCGATTTCAATCCAGTAACAAGCCGGACCTGCAGAATAAGTTAAGATCGATCAAGTTTATTCTGTTCAAGCTCAAAATTTTTGGAAATGAGTAAAAACAGAGAGGTTTGAATATAACTTGTTCAGTCAATGAAACCTATCCGGGAGATTTAAACAATAGGTGCAATCGTAATTCATTTCGAACCCGAATTGTTATAGTACATAGCGCGTTTACTACCAATCAAAAAACGTTCGTTTATTCAATGATAGAATATTTGTAGAAGCGCACAGAAGTCCAATATATTATTTGTCACTATAGGATAGTTGTATATTATGCATTCCCTCCATCACAAATCAACCCGACGTGAGCATTTTTTTTGGAATTAATAGATTAATTGGATGTCTCTAATACAAATTACATGACTGCTTGAATGACTTGTTTCGATTGATTATAAATACATCATTCGCATGCACATGCAATTCAAGTGCATTTTGCACCCGTCTGTTAAGTAAGAGTTTGAAACCGGGACCTTGTTACCCTTTTTATTTAAAATTATGCCCATTTCGTTTTCAGGTATTTATAGCCAACCTGGATCAGTTGTGGTCTTTTTTTCTGTTAACATCTGGATAGTCTCAGTAGTTGTTGAAGCGGCAGTAGTATTCGTCGGAGTTGTAGTCGGAGTTGTAGTGGTGATAGTAAAAGAAAAAGTGTTCATATTTGTTACAATCGCAACTACAATGCCGCTGATTATAAGAACAACTGCTATCAACGAAATGATAACATTTCTTCTGGTATTTCCTTCAAATAAAACATACCAACAATTTAAAACTTTAACACTTTATACTTATTCCGCATTTCATATGATCTAATCATAAACATGATAGGTATATAACAACATCACAATATTACCCATTATATTGTATGTCTTTGTTTCTGAACAAGTCTATTTGCCAAATTGTGTTCCTTTGTCTCTTGTGTTCGACCTAAAATTAATTTACAATTATAAAACATAAATAAACGTAAAATTATGATTTATAAACGGATTTCTATATTTAAACAGAAAATGAAATTTTTATTATACCTGATTTTTTGAATTTACAAAATTCCGATTGTAAATGTTTTCAGCCCAGTCACCGGATCCGATATATGGAAATATAAAGAACTACAATCTTTCAAATTTGTATGTCTAACTGATACTAGCTAGATCTCAATCGCAATAGTCTCACACATTGTGCGACTCGACGTGGAGCCAATAATAATACCAAGTTATATTATAAAAGTGAAACATAACTAAGATTGAGGATAATAAGTAGACTCAATAGATCTCTCGTATCTTCCAAATTGCTAGTTTATTATTCCAAAGTGAAAGAGATTTATTAGAGAATTTTAAAAATATTTCAAAATTATTCTTGACTATACTTCTTTTTCAAATAGTCCTCGATGATTTATGATCATACTAATTAGTTTCACTTTTATGTCTTGTTATAGATAACGGGAATGAAACAAATTCACGATCTGAATTACTGACAGTTCAAGCCGTCAATCGGCCATTTTATTTGACGTGCGTTTCCTTGAAAACTGGCGTGCCGATCCGGAAAAAAAATTGAGGGGTTTAGACCTAACTAACTAAGAATATTTTTCAGAACGATCGAGCCAGAGAGAGCGAGTCAAAAATGTTTTTGGGCAACGCGTTGCTTAATTACCAATAAGAACAATTTATTGAATATTGCACAACCGGAAAATTGGTATTTTCACCTCCCCGTTACGCTCCTGTGACTTTGGAATGTTGTGCGGCTCGGAATGAGGATATTAAGAAATTTAGTACATAGAAATAGTTGGAAAAGTTATTTGAAATTTTTTAAGGATTTTTTTTCTCCTACCCCACAGTCACGACCCAGTGATTTTGACTTATTACAGGCCTCTGAGAGGTCCTGTTAGGAATTGAAGAACATAAGGATGGTTGGAAAAGTTAGTTAAATGTTTTTTTAAATATTTTTTTACACCCACCCCCAGTCACGGTGAAGGGATTTTAAATTATTGCAATATTCTGGCGAATCCTATTAGGAATCTAAAGACATGGGCACGGCTGGAATAATTATTTAAATGCATTTTTTTTCTCCTACCCCCAGTCACGCTTCAGTGATTCCAGGTAATATCTCGGAATGGTAATAGGTAGAGATGCCATATTTAAGTTATACGAAGCAATTGAGATCAAGTTTGTCACAAAAAATGTGTTATCCGAATTACTCAGGGTCTAAATGGGTCGGGGGCAGCAAACCGGACGAATAACCGCCATTCGACCGGCGCAACAACCCGCGTGCATTTATCGACCCCTCCTAACGAGCGTCCGCTTCTACTTCCCTCAAAATATTTCCCTACCCCCCTGCACGGGTACCGCCGCAAGCGCGATTTTTCCTAGATCTTGCAAGGGCCCCGTTATGACGAAAACCGTGAATATACGTCATGTGAAATAGTGTTTTCATTTATCGCATTACTCAGTTGTAAACGACGTTTCCAGAAATTAATTCTGAGCGAAAGCGTGAAATACGCAACGCAAATGTGATGTACTGGTATTTGCCCTCCGATATAATCTGAGGCACGTCGTCTAACCCGTGGCCCGCGGGCCATATGTGGCCCGCGCAAACATTTCGAGTGGCCCGCGCTGTATTTGTCGGAATTAAATAAAAAAAATTGAGTATTGATGTCCGGAAATAAAAGAGTCGTTTGCAAATATAAGCCTGTCAATACAGACGATTCTCTTCGTGTTGAAGAGCTTGGGAAATCTATAGCAGAAGCTTCAATTGCAAAAGCGGGAAAGTTTTCATCGTATTCCTCGGCGCTTAACGAAAATACTGGCATTAAGTCTACTGCTCTTCATGCGTGGAGTTAATGATGATTTTGAAATTCCTGAAAGAGTTCACAGCCATTGTCCCAATTAGTGGCACGACTATGGACATTTATTTGTTGGGAGCTGTGATAGTAATGATCAAGCGTCTTGATTTGTTTTTTGCGAAACTGTTGGGAATAACCACTGATGGCGCCCCATCAATGGTTGGGAAACAACAGTTTATTGTTCTAATAACTGTGAAAGTTTGGCGTGAGGGCATTGTTTTTTTATTAACCTGTAGTCAGTGTAGCAAAACTAAAACATAACTACAATGTTAAGTGGCCCACGCACTTATTAGTAAATTACATATGGCCCTTCGGCCAAAAAGATCGGACGACCCTGATCTAAGGTTTCATCTACACGCCCACAGCCTCTTATTGGTCAAAATACATGATCTTACTTTTCATCAACAGTCGATACGAAAAAAGATAAACCAGAATTTTGTTATGGTAAAATGTGATAATTACCTCGAGGGTAAAAAATCACAAGATTGTGGTGATATGTTAGACTACAGCCCTTATCAAAACCGGTCTGTATAAACGGTTTGAGTTTACATGCACGAAAACATGAAATATGCCTAAATGCAGATCCTCGCATAAAACAAACATTGTTCTTGTAATCGTTCCATGTCACATTACATCAAAATATATATACACAATGTATATAATATATACAGTACATACAAAAATACTTTCATACTTCTGTGTGAGGGCATTGAGAATGAACATAGACAATCAGTATGAGCGGCAGATCTAATTCTTGTTGTGCAGTTAGCAATCAATAAAACGAGAATATCGGTTGGAGACCGAAGACTTATCCATCGAAACTGCGGTTTCGAATCATGGCTCTATAGTGACACCGCGTGTCCCATCACTAATTAATTAATAACTCACTAATTATACGACATAATTCATCCAAAATCAATAGGCTTCTGGTCCGAGATGTGATAAATGCACATGCAAAATTTGGAGCAGATTCAACCTTGCCTTCTTGAGGTATCGCGTTCATCTAACAGACAAACAGACAAATACTATGAACATACTTACCGATCTTAGGATCGATAAGTAATCAAGCGTGACGACATACAAAAAAAATATCATGCTGCAAAGATCGCTATTTCTCAGGCACGCCCTGGCCTAAAACATGCTGAAACTACTGTTCTCAGCTCTTTCAAGGCAAAAATTTGTCAAATCTACAAGGCGATGATAAAATATCCGTTTAACAAAACTTCATTCCACTAATACCGTAGTCAGTTAGAATAGTTTTATTGCTTAAATATCTGTGACATCCAGCGTATAATAACGGTGCTTGTGTTTTGGATTTGATCACAGCACTGTTTTGGCCATTTTATGATTGTCAGTTATTATTTAGGATGGCTAGGTTATAATTTCAACTGGCACCTAGTCCACTTTGATTGCGAAGTATTGATAAATGATCATGCATGGTTCAGGCGATCCGCTACAGTTCGAAATGGTCAAGATTATGAAAGTCGCAAAGTGGCGATGAAACACTTCTTGGAGACGTAGTTAACATTATACTCCGAGCAACAGAATACTGGCATGATGTGAGAGCTGGAAGATTAATATGGGATCGATAAACTTCGTTTCCGAAAAGCTGGCATATCGGAAATTAGCTATTTAGTGGTATAAATATCATACAGCAACAGCGTCTCCTATTTCCGCTTGATGTTATCAATTATATCTAAAATATTGGGTGAAGTTGCAATATTTTTATATCTGTGATCTTAAAACTTAATGTTTGCGGCGCGAGTTTGAACGCAATGCTTCGCAGTTTTGTCGTGTTCTCAATGGTCGACGATAAGCATATGTTTGAAATTAGACGAGCAAAATATTCACCAAACGACCTCTAGCATAGGGAGGGCGAGGTACACGCAACTCTGGATTCATTCAACAGCGTTTCGCTGCGAACGACACACAATATTTAATTCTTTAAAGACCGGCGCACGCGTTATGGTAGTAGAGAGTTACAAGGTATTTTTGATAGTGTATTGGCAACATTACGCGTGTACAACATTTATACACCTAATAAAAGGTAATATTAAATTGATATATTAGTTGTATATGTGTATGGGGTTAGCGAAAAGTAGGGTTGCAGTGAACACAGACTCATAAAAGAGTAACTGTAACATTACTTTTTGCCTTCCCTGTATATTGCTATTTGGATGTTCGCAAAATTATGTTAAGTTTGTATTGTTTTATTCTATAGTACAGTATATCATGAATGAACAACTTTGAATGAGGATACCAGTGGTGTGATCGATTGATAATTTTTCCGTTAGTCTTTAAGATGCAATGGCTGCTTCCTCTGGCTCCGATAAGTTGTGTGATTTCAACACGCACGCAAGAGAGCAGAAGAGAAACGGCGGCTGTGAAATATCCTTTTTGAGATGAGCTTAAGTTTATTGCATTAAAAATTCGCAGACACCAAATTTATCATCTTCAAACTAATTTGAGATTTTGTGTCAAATAGGCGAAAATTTAGCATGCAATATGATAATAAATTTGCGAATATTATATACCCTACTCCAGGTGTGAACTTTTGTATCCTATATTTTGATCCATGATTGTTTTTGAATCACGTGTAGGATTTTCTGACTTCACAGTGCGAGGTCACTGCACAATTTTCTCATTTTCATCTCCAAGCCCGTAACATTCTGTATTACTTTATTTGAAAATTCGCTTATGAAAAATATCAAGGAGAAAATGATATGATGATATATCCAGCATTTTTGCTTCTATATGATTTTGGAGGTCAAATCACAGTCTTGTTGAATTGTTGGCCTCGTTGCAATATAGTCGATAAGTCTAAAATCATGTTTTAAATGTTCCGACTTTATCCTCGGCAAGAAATGATGCTTATTCTCTACTCGAATTTCCGCCGTTGATCAAGATGATTGAATATAAACCGTTATTTTGGCGTTTCCAGTATGTCGTCGTTCTATCCGACATCGCAGTTGCAATGTCTCAAACACTTGATGCCAAACTTAGAAATATGCCTGAAGCTAGATGATTAGTTTATTATGGTTGAGAATCATTGATTGATTTTATCGTTATGTTTGCATATTTTGATTTTTAAGAGGTCCCTAAATCCAGCTTGTGTATATGGAATCAGTGTCCCGCGGTAATGCAGCTAGAAAACGTTCGTTATGACTAATTTATAATTTAATCAAAATTGTTATTTTTATTTAAAGATTTATTTCTTCGGGTTTTCGCTGTAAGAATTTGAAAAGGACATTTCCCGATAATATTTTGCAACGCTTGTGGCCTTGAGTGCAGCTTTGGCAGCTGGATATATTTGTCCCATTTTTGATAGCTTAATTTTTTTTAATATTGCGGATTTTTAAGTACGTATTACCTTGTGTACGCATACCTTATTTTAATATTCAATAGGTACATAGACTAGCACGTTATTACAGCACACTATAGGTAAAAATGGAAAACCCAGAACAGGATTCAAGAAAAAGATTTCAAAGATTAGACTTCGACATAATAATCAAGCATATCGGTTCAGCCGGAAAATACCAAATTCTACTAATCTGTTTGGCATATTATATTGCCATTCCGTCAGGCATGAATCAAGTAGCTTCAGTTTTTGTTGCTGCAATTCCAAAGCATCGTTGTAAAATTCCAGAGTTTGATAATCTTCCTGGAGCTTACAAAAATTTGACGGAAGAACACCTATGGGAATTATATATTCCAGTGCTGGATACGAACGTAAGTTAATATTCAATTCATGCGTGGAAGAAAAACCAAGCAGTATGTTATTTATTTATAGTCTAGATTTTGCTACTTACCGTCTGTAGGGCGAATTCGGTGTCCTAAACAAACTTTTTACGCAAAAGTAAAAAGTCAGTTTATGCGCAAAATTCTAATTTCCCTATGATTCGAATTTTACTACCTATCCTAACCCATGACATATCATCAAGTCTGATTTGTTAATAAGCATTGTTTAATAAGCAAGATTTCTATATTGCAGTTGCTTATGATACATCCTGTGTTGCAGACCGTGATTTGATCAGCGTAGTAGATATTCCAACTTGAGGTTTTCAGTTTGGAATGTCGGCATCATTATTGGTTTGCATCAGTACGTAAGCAATGAAAATGAATTGACAAAATGTTCAAAAATTGACAAAACTTTAACATAAGGACATGTGAATCCAAACATTTATTTCTAGAAATATGATGAATGTCGAAGATACATCCCTGTGAAAAACTGCACCGAAGAAGACTTGTCTAATTGTTTCACCAACGATACAAAAGCTTGTGATGCAGGATATGTTTATGATCGCACAGAATTTGAGAGCACCATTGCGACTGAGGTATATGGAACTTTTAGAAGCGGAAAATTTCATTAAGTGTGAAAAAGAAGTTCAATAGTGACTTTGTTTACAGTAAATATAATAAAACCACAAACGAGTATCATTAAAATCGTTTAACATGTTTTACCGCATGCACAACCAACAGCGCATTCTCAACACCGATTAGAAATGCTTATCTCAATTGTTTGTAAACATCTGAATTTGAATCTTAGCGTGCAATCCACATCTTGAAAGTGACCTTTTTTCAAAAAAAGACTGACGAATAAAATTAGTAAACTATAAAAAATATAGAATTATAATGTCCAAAAATAATTCAGTTTAAATTAATAATTTGTTATGATCGATATGACGAATGGAATGTTTTTCATTAAATTTTCTAGTATAGTACAATCGTAGTTCATATACGTTAACAAAAGTCGAATCTGCTTTTTGTTTCAGAAATTTTATACAATAAAGTAGGGGTGGCCAACACGCCGATCGCGATCGACCGGTCAATCACCACTTCTCGAGCAGTCGATCGCGTCTGAAGTTGAGTGAGTTTTATCGAAATACCCCCAAAAATTGCCTCGAACCAGTTGGGTGTTCTACAACAGGAAGAATACAGTACTTTACATGCGCAATATACACATATAGTATTTCAGTCTGGGCAAGCCCGATAAAGCATATTATTAGCAAAAGTTTATCCGTTACAAAGGTTTAAAAATGAAGTGCGAATATCGCGTGTCTAGACTACACTGACAAACGACCCTACAATAACTTCCGCAGTATGCGAAAGTTATTGTCTCACTCCAAGAGTAGTGTGATGCATTTTATTTGCAATGGTAGCAGTGGCATCAAAATGCCCAATTTGTTCTAATTCTAAGCAAGCGAGGAATCGCGTTTGGAGGAAATTGTAAATTAGATACTGAAGTTTGAGCAGTCATGTAACATTCGTAGTTTGAGAATAATTATTTTTCGCTGTTTAGATAATTAGGCGCCGATTCGACTTTCACTTCATTAAACAGTACACGAATTATTTGAATGAAAAATCAGCCTTATCTGAATTGTATGATTTAAATAAAATCTTACTTAAATAAATAATGAAACATTTACTCCGGGTACAAATCAAATCAACAATATTATTGGAACATAAAAAATACAAATTTTGTGCGATTTTAATAATAATGTGCCAACAAAGCCTTCTTATTGGCAGCGGTGGAGTTTTTTGTATCCGTGTGTGCAGTTATTCTCTAATGTTATGCTAAGCAACTGTTTCAACCTTTTCATAATTTAGGCATACCATACGATCCCGGATAATGTTTGAAACTCATTATTCAATAAAATATGAACTCCGACTAATGTCAACTATAGTCTGCGAAATGTTAATAAAATACATTGAAAAATTATCAGACGAACCATTCAGTGATTATTTAGCAACTGATGTATTATATTTTTTGTTTTTAGTGGAATATCGTGTGTGACAGACTAATATGGGGGACTGTTTCTCTCATGATATATTTTGCTGGAGTGGGCATAAGTTCGGTTGTCGGAGGAAATCTATCAGACAGGTGAAATAAATATCATTCAAGTAATTTTTAACTTCGGGGGTACATATTAGATATAGATGCGTAAATAGCTCATTTACAATTATTAAAATATCGGAGTTATTAACCATGGTCGGGGTATGTATGTTTGGATAGCGGTATGTATCAACCTACTATCAATATCATACATAAACGCAACATTCATCTAATGTCTCAACGAAATACTCCTATGTTAACGAGATTTTCGAGATTAAATTATGGTTTTTGCTCTGACAAAACAATTAGTTTTTACCCTCATCCAATAAAATAATTATTTTTGTACTATTTGGTTTGCTCGATTTGGTAAAATTCATATTAAAAGTATTTTATTTCAATTCAATACATATAGATAGAGATTTATCAAATCACTATTTCAGAAGTTTCACATTTTCATAACTTGATAAGGGCGATAACATTACTTACTATCCATAGTTTTACATCGAATATTACAAACAAGTCACGAGACGACAAAACTGATCAAATTTTTTAATCAGATTTGGACGGACACGCGTAATGCTTATTGCACAACTTGCTATGGTGGGACTAGGAATCGGATGCTCTTTTTCCACGAATCTCATCATGTTCTCAGCTCTCAGGTTTGCAATCGCATGTTGCGTGATTGCTTCGTGGGAAGCATCATTTGTGTACAGTAAGTTCCATTTCAATTATATATGATAGTATTGAATAAACAATCAATAAAAAAATTGATGATTGCATTACTTTTGACCCTCGTGTTGGTTTGTTTCAGTGATCGAAGTAATTGGAAATAAGTGGAGAACGAACACCTGTAGGAATAAGTATTCAAGGAGTGTTTGCTGTTGGATACATATTATTATCCGTAATGTCATATTACTTGAGGGAATGGCGCAGTTTACAACTTGGCGTTGCCGTGGCGTCATGTGTGTTTCCAATACTTTGGATTTTTCTTCCCGAATCTCCAAGGTATGGATAAAAGCTTCAAATTAAAAAAAAAGATTATTGTCAATCATAGTAATAAAGGAAATCAAAATACCATATTTTATAATTCTAGATGGCTCTTATCAAAGGGAGAAGTTGAGAAAGGCATGAAAATTTCCGATACAATTGCAAGGAGGAACGGGAGAAAATTGCCTGATGACATCTGGAATCAAGCACTGATAAAAGATGGAGTACGTTTATTTGACTTTTGTTGGCGTGGGGCAAAAATATGTTGAAGACGGCATAAGGAAATTTAGGCGTTGTAATTTACACTTTATTTCATACAGATGGTATATATATGGACGGCCACATTCATATAACATTTGCATGTTCGACGGAGAATATCTGTTTAGTTATTATTTTCCTGGTTTTTCTGAGTATTAGATTGATTTTGGTTTTATATTCTTCCGCCGATTCGACTTTCACTCTATTAAACAGTTCATGAATTATTTGAATGTAAAATCAAGCAATTGTTGTTTCAGAATGAGATGACTGAAGCTCATATTTATCCGCACGAGTTGTTTAAGCGAAGATTAATGAAATTAATAACGTTGAGGATGATGTTTATATGGTTCGTCTGTTCATTGGTTTATTATGGACTGTCTCTAAACGTTGGAAGTTTGGCAGGTTTGAAATTAATTTTTTTTGCCATACTCAAATTGGTTACCAGTTTTTATATTTAAATGATCACGAATCAAATATTATTTTTTATTATAATAACTCGGGAAATTAAAATATTCAGGTGATACCAGAATCAACAATGCACTCGGTGGTTTATGTGAAATTTTGTCGTGTCCTCTTGCTATATTCACGATTGATCGTTTTGGTAGAAGACCAGTATTATTCATCATATTAATCGCAGCTGGATTCGCATGTATATTTTCAACCGCTGCTAATTATTTTTCGTCGGCTGACTCAGGTATGAGAGATTTATAAAAATAAGAGTTGGTGAATAAATATGCTGTATTTCAAGAATCATTAACGGTATCCTGCCATCGCACTGATGTGACGCTGACAAAGGCATTGCCGACGCACTCATGTAATGCTGCAAACGGAACTGATGTAACGCTACCACTCCCACTGTGGGCGTATTTTATATGTACTAAATAGCGTATTTGTGGTTTTGTTTTACCAACAAATGGTAAACGCTGGCATGGTACCAGTGATTAAACAAATTATCTTATTGATTGGTTGGTATTATCAGCATCGTGGAGGAAATCATGATTTTTCGTGTTAATTTTTTAGTATTGTTATTTGTCAAATAAAAAGATCGTTTTTTGTTTTGTTTTATATATCCAGCTCTTGGAGTAGTTGGCACGATATTTGCCTTATTAGGAAAACTCGGAATCTCATCTGCTTTTGCAATCATATATAATTATACAGCAGAGCTCTTCCCGACCGTTTTGAGGTAAGTATGCAATCAATGCACTTGTGCAAACGTTCTCGTTGATCCAAGATTCATTTTACCTCATCGTGTACTTTCAAAACGAATTTCTATTTTGCTGACATATAATATTTTTCTATACCTAGAGCTACTGCCGTCGGTACAGGATCAATGTCAGCAAGATTAGGAGGAATATGTTCACCGTTAGTGATTTTGATACAATATTCACTACCGTGGCTTCCTGGAGTAAGATATATATATATATATATATATACTTTATTTAGGACGAATAACCCAAAATATTGTCAACATTTAGGACGTTGACACAACGATAATGTCAACATTTAGGACGTTGACATTAATTGATATTTTTATTCAATTTATTATCTTTCATAAAGAGTTCAAAATACCATGCTAATAGGCTATACCGATGCCGATAGTTAAAATAAATTGTTTTCAGGTCTTATTTGGTGCTTTGTCCCTGTTAGCTGCAGCAATGTGTTTATACTTACCCGAAACAAAAGACGCCCAATTAACCACCACATTAGAAGACGCAGAAATATTTTACGCCAAAGCCAGGTATGTAAATATCAGATTCTAGTACAATTTGCCAATGCCCATCATTCTAATTCAATCGTGTTTTCAGAAATCTCGCCAATCCTAAAAAATCGAATAACGATTGTCATGAAATGGAGAAGCTGGATGAAAACTTGATGTAGCTGTGACTGATTGCTCAACAGATTTGAAGATAACACCATAATTAACCTCACGAAGAATTAAACCTAAATTCCTCATTGATGTAGCTGCTTGCCAACATAAAGTTGTTGAATGAATCGTCATCCGTTTCACTGGTATTTGGTAAAAAAAGTTATAGTAGATAGTTTAAACAACAAACTGAAAATAATTATTTGGTCCAGTCAATATTCGAAGATACAGATCGTATTCACCATAAAATGTACATACAGTTATGGACAACTCCATGCAGTAACCCTTGACGTAATGGCATGTAAGTAGTAAATATTAATAACTATTCAACTCTTAATAGCACAATGGATACATCAAATGTTCGTGTGAATATTTCTTGAAATGTATGTGTCGTTAAATTATAAACAATTTTTTTTTGTGTTTCCCGAAGATATAAAAGATGAATAAAAATATCTAATTGTGAATATGTTTCGTTTTAACAAGAGCAAAACATAGAACCAGGCTATAGTATAAACAGATGCGAGCAAATGTTATTTTATTTATTGGACACGTAGTGGACATAACGATCGTTTCAATATTATGTTGTTGTTGTTGTTCTTGTTCTTGTTCTTTGACACGTTTTTAAAAAGTCGCTTTTCTCTTTGATTACTGGACTAATTGCTTTGAAATTTTCAGTGGTTGAAGATGAAATTTTTCTCCAGAAGGCTATTACTTTTATTTATTTCAAATATTTCTGTTAGCTCTGTAAGATTTGTTTTTGTTTGCTATGACGTCACTAAACGTTCTGCGGATATCGGACGCCATTTTGTGTCCAACGGACCATCTTGCAATTTCAATTCACGCTGTCACAAGACAGGAGTTCTGGTACCGTAACACAGCGCGGTGACACTGAACTAACTCGTAGCTGTCAAAAGCTTGAAAATCCATACAAATATGAGAAATAAAAAGATGAAACTTGGCAGGTGGGTAGAGTTGTGTTTCTTTTAACCATATTTGAAAGTTTCGCGTTTCTACATTTGAAGGAGGGGGAATAGGGGGTGTGCATTTCCGATACGTCGATAATATCTTTGTCAACCAATTTACGGCCACCGTGTTTTCGTCTGTTTGATTGCTGTGATGTGGTGCTTTGTTTATAATTTAACGAGTTTTGTTCGAAATAACCGTGTTCTTGAAATATATGACGGTCAGAAATGCAATTAGAAGCTCAATGTTTTCACGCTGTCACAAGACCAACAATTGTCAACCAATTTGCGACCACCGTGTTTTGTCTGTTTGATTGCTGTATGGCTGCGTATGCGATAGTCTCGACGCAGCATAAACGATGATCAAGGCTTGAAATCCGTGGTCGCACACTGGTCGTTCGGTCGCAAATACGTCTTTCGAGTGCCGTACTTTGGGGATTTGTATAGCTTCAACCCTTTGTCGTAGAAAGTTAATACAAGGTTTAGCGTGTAGAATAAATGCCGCCAATGCACCCACGGTGAAAAAATTAACGGGTTAGATATATTGGTTTTTGTTTTATAGCGGTTTGAATGAAATTGTCCGCAGACTGGCTACACCACCCTAGGCCTGGTGAGTTGTCCGTGTAGTCGAATTGTCCATCAGCCCTAAACGGCTATGACAGTCACTGTACCAAAAATTGTACCCCGATTCGGCTGCTGTTAAGTTGACGCATGTTATTTAGTAACGTTTTTATCTGAAATGTTTGACTGTGGTTCGGTACCTGATCCGATAATACGGTACATAATTGACTCATATCACGAGATATTTCAACTGATGTTTCAAGTGTCACAGGACCTAAAATATCTATGACAGTCCCTGTACCGTCACGGTACCCCGATACAGGTACTGGTAAGTCACCGCCGGTATGTTAGTCGTTGGTCACCGCATATGATTTTTGGGGAATTGTTCTGCGTGTCCATATATTTGAGTATTGCTCTCTTGTGTTGTTGTTGTTGTTCCTTGACACGTTTTCAAAAAGTCGCTTTTCTCTTCGAATACTGGACCAATTGCTTTGAAATTTTCAGTGGTTAAAGATAAAAATTTTCTCCAGAAGGCTATCACTTTTTTTTTCTCGCTATGACCTCATCAAAATTATGTGACTCTACGTGTCCATATATTTGAGCATAGCTCTCTTGTAATATTTAATAGTGACTTTCGGTTGCAGCTCGCTATCACACAAAAGTCCTTTTTGTAACCCGTTGCAGTTCAATTGAACTAACTATACGTGCGGCTGGTTTTCGTGCTGTTATTGCTATTAAATACGATAAATAAGGACGAAATTGGGGGTGATATGAACGTTTTATTGACAATGCAACCCATTAATAATTTTTACGCAAACTTTTCTTAACTCCGATTGCTCGAAGAAAGAATCCTTCGCCCAACCCATCCGCTAGTTTTCAGCAATGAGTTAGAATATTAACGTTACGTTATGGATCTACATATCGTGCCATTTTCTGCTTGTTTGCGTAGTATCAGTATTAATTGATTAGTAGCTGTATATGAATTTATTTGGTGGGAATTGCCATAAACTTCAATTTAAATCTCTGTTAAAGTCTCTGCATGTTTCCCGTATAGCATGAACAATTGTGAAATATAATTTGTTTGCCGACGACGCAAACAACCCTACGACGACCGAATGCTTCTGCATGCTTCATTGCACACTTGTAAATAGTTCGGCGCGCAGTTAGGTTGCAGTCCGCCTTGTATTCTGACTGAGGATTCAGTTGAATATCAGCGAAGCCCAATGACAAACACGCGGTTTTTGATCAGTATAGTGTGAAAGTTTAGTTTAGGCTGGAACAATGTCGTCAAATACCCATGCTACAGAATAAAACCAGTTTTAATTTGCAGTCAGTGCTAAGATAAGTGCCTCACTGGCCACAGACTGGTGCAGTGAAAAGGTGAAAATAGAAGGTTTTCATTTATAGCCTTGTCAGTAAGCTAACTTTATATAAATAACATAGTAATTGAGATTTGTGAAACGCTTTTGCAAACTTGCAGAAATCCGAGATAGGAACACTTTCATCCATACATTGACATGAACATATGAAAATCTCCTACGAGATCATCCCAATATTGACGTGCCCGACGAACTGGTGTGTGGCTGAAGGATAGGATATCTTAACGCAATACGCTTGTAGCCTTATCCGAACATTGCATCTTCAAGTGTAGGTCTATATACAGCTACATCTACCTTTCGAAATAAACAGTCAATGCAAAGATACCACACACTGTGACAAGAATGCCAATCAAGTCTCCATTTCCAGACTTTGATATTCCACCAAGTCCACTTGGAAATTACATGCTCACTCAGATGAAGAAATATGGCGACAGAATTGCAACGGCAAGTCAATTCAATATATATAGCATTTCGTAAATATCTTTACATACATATATAATAAATATATATTGTACTTGTATACCTATAGATCGTTTTGTCATTTTGTATGCTTATTGTTATGGGAAAATCGGTGACCATACATTTGAATCCATGTGTATATCCCGCGGGTTCAATCTATATGCGGGTTCTAACATCCATGGGTTAGGGTTAGTATGGGTTTTAAATATCCGTAAAACGAAAAAAAAATTCTATGGGTGCAACAGTATGCAGGTGCAATTGTCGTAGGTTCAAATGCAATGGAACTGAAAAAATCGCCTACTGATTAACTACTGTATGAATTGCTTTGAAATTTGCGATGGTTGAAAGTTGTATTTTTCGCTAGAAGACTTATTTATTTCAAAATTTTCTGTCGGCCCTAAAGGTTTCGTCTCTTTGTGTGCGATGACATCATCGACAAAATTGCGCATCTCGTGGCGGCTCCAATTTCGCGATCTGGTGGTCAGGCAAAGACGTGAAGGCTGCGGTTCTGGTAGTCTATTGTGACAGATTGCATACCCGTATCACTTAGTTTTGGCCGTCGTATCTATATATTTGAGCATAGCTCTCTTGCTTGTTCTATTTTAGAATACATTCCGAATGGTAGATTATTCGAGTTGGTTGTGGTTTTATGATTTCTAACTAATTACATATCGAATTGTTAAATTAATTTAATATTATCATTCGTCGTTCAGGTAAATCTCTGTGATGGATCATCGGCCACTTACAGTCAATTATACGCGAGATCCAAATCGTGTGCAAGCGCACTTCGTAAGCAGGGACTGCGTAAAGGTGACGTCATCAGCATACTATCCTTGAACACTGTGAACTATCCAGCCATAATGATTGGAGCTTTTTTATGCGGAGGGACGATTGCTCCGTGTAACCCTTGGTACACAAAGGATATGTGAACAAGTATTGATTTCTACTTTTTTAATAAGGCGATCTTTTGAAACTAAATATACCTTGAACGGATACGGCGACGCCTCCGTCATTCACTGAGTGGGATATGGTAGAACAATTTAAAGGTTTCGATTTTCGAAACGATTTTCCTTAGATTTATAGAAATATCTCCATTTCCAACTTCTCTTATATTTGGCGAATTGCAAAACCGTTCATGACTTGAATAAAAAAAATTTTCCGCTTTTATTCGCATTCCTTATTTCCTGAATGCTTAGAGCTAGAGGTTTGTGAAATTAGATTCACAACTTGAACCTATCAGTCAATCAAGCCAATCTAACGTGTTACAAGGCTCCCGCTTAGACTCCCGAAACTTAACTTTCAGATATCATGAGGCTTATTTATAATTTTTATCTAGTAAAGTAAACCAATATTTGTTCAGATGAAATTCTGCAGCAATACAGAATATATAATCCCAAGATGGTTTTTGTAGCTGATACTGCTGTTGATAAAATAAAGGAAATCAAAAATGATATACCGAGCATAGAGGTTAGTTTGATTTTTAATCTTTCTTGCATGTAAATTTAGGAATAGGTTTATTGATTGTGTTTTTCATTTGTAGAAAATTTTTGTAATCGGACAAAAAATGGATGATTTTGTGTCGCTTTCTGAGATGATTAAAAATACTGATGACGGTAAGTTTATTTCGATGTGCGAAATCATTTTAGTAAATAAATAACAATTTATAATTTATTTTGTCCAAAGTCGACTCGTACTGTCATGTTGTGCAATTGAACATGTTAAAGTAACTCTCACAAAAAATCTTCAAATACTCATATGTGATTCTATATTTCCCATCGCGGGAATGCAATAAGAGAAAATAAGATGGAAACTAGCACGGCCATACTTGAAAATTGGTGTTGTTTTCGAAATTTCCAGTGATATTGAGTCAACTCAACTCGCAATCGTTTATGGATTAAAATGGTCCTAAGGATTATTTATTTATTTGTCCGTTTGTAATCGTTGTTGCTGTTATCGTTGAGGTTATGATAAATATTTTCTCTACAAAACTAAAAAGCAAGTCGATTTACCAGTACTTATAGATCAAGGGTGTGCAAGGTTTTTGGACCAAGGGCCAGATATTTTGCCCACCTAGACTGGCGGGCCCCATGTAAGTGTGACGTAAAAATTTACATTTTCATGAACGATATTTACAGTGTTGAAAAAACAAATACGGAAAACAATAAGTCTCGTGACGAAACTAAATTTAATCGCAATCTCAACGTATTCCTTAAGATGTTTGGTATTAGTTTGGTTGCGGTAGCATCAGGCGGACGAGATCGAACTACCCAACGGGCCGTGTTTGGCCTGCGAGTTGTAGTTTGCCCATGTCAGTTATAGATGGTAGAAGTATCTAGAATACTTTACTTCAATATTTACAATTTTTCGTTGAATCATAACGATTCATACGGGAACAGATTCAAATTTTGCACGTTTTTATAATTCGCGGACTAATCTTCAGATTTTATGGCATTAGGTGCAATATCAATTTTCTGGCTTTTCGGTATCATCGTTAGTTTTTTGGTCTTTAAGTCCCAATATATAACCTTTGATTTTCATTGGAGCCTGTCTTTCGTATTTTGTAGATAATTTTGATGATGTTGATATCAACACCATGGAAGATATTTCTATTCTCGCATCGTCAAGCGGAACAACAGGACCACCAAAATGCGTGATGCACACCTATCGCAGTCTAATGACAGCGACATTTTTTAGAAAGTATTAATGATAATACGAGATTTTTTGAATGTTATAAGGAAATCGACGGTTAAAATGCATTTTATGTTAGCGTTCTCATAACAAATTTCACTCTTACCGACGTTACAAACTCAAATAATATTCAATGATGCACATGTCTTAAAACCTAGCCAAACGAATTCCAACATCTCCAATAACTTTCTATTTATATTGGGGAACTAACATTTATTACTAAGAGAGAATACTACTATTTTATGCTTGTAATCAACGCTTTGTGATATTCAAGAAGTTTAGAATAGAAACAGTTGTGCTTGCACATGGGTATTTAACATTTTAAGTTCTTTTCATCTAGACTGCGAGGAATAGATTTGGAGGGCAAAACATATTATCACGATCGTCCTATTTTTCATACTGTTGGGTATACATTTACACTAGGACTTCTTCACTATGGTGCAAAAATCATATTTGATCAAACATTTGATGCAGTTCGAATGCTGAAAGCTGTCGAAACGTATAAGGTATGTTAGGGGCATATTAAGAAAACGATTACACCTCGTTTTATACATAATAATTATAGAGAATAATGTTTCTATAGTAACATTTTGGGCTTCATCGGTATCATTTTAGTACTAGTGAACACGTTTACCCGTTGGTCAAAATCTAGTATTTCAACAATTTGTAGACAAACTATGTTAAAATAATATTTTCTTTATTTGTTCGCTCAGGTCGATCATTCTTTTATCTCTCCATCTGCTATGCTGATACTCGCGCAAACACATTCTTCCCATAATTATGACATTTCTTCACTAAAAACTGCTGTTTTTGGTGGTGCGTCTGTTGCCCCATCTGTACTCTGCTCTGTGAAAGAAAAATACGGGATCAAAGTATACGCAAGTATAGTGATATAGCATATAGTGGTGATTTCTGGCGAAGAAAATTACCAGGAAACTACCTTTTTCCTAATATATATTCATAATCGTTCATTAAATGTGCTATTATTTAAATTGCATCTGTGATCGTAAATTAAACATTTTCGCTTTGATAGAAAATCAGTTAAAACGACCTCGATCTGATGCACCATACAAATTATCTCGCTAAAGTTCAAAAATCCTCAAAGTAAATACATCATAACTGCAGACTGTTTTTCCGCAGGTTACGGCTTGACTGAATGTACGCCTGTTGCGATAAACTACGACCTTGACAATTTCATTGAGTCAAACGGGTGTCTCAGTCCCAACACTGTTATTAAGGTCTGTTTGAAGAATAAACATTTAGACAAGTACCTAATTTTACTTGGTCATTTAATTTTTTTTATTTCAACTTCAGATCGTGGATTTGCAATCAGGAGAAGAGAAACAATGTAAACAATCCGGTGAAATACTGGTGAAAGGTCCACACGTAAGTCGTAGATTCTGGATTCAGCTATATATACAAACACAATTTTGATGAAATGTCATTCTTTACTTGTGTTGGATCATATTGCTGTTAACTGTTTTTAGAGTTACAAATTTCGATACTCCTGTAGCAGGTTTGGGTTAAGCCATAATTCTATTCCGATTTTCCCTATTTTAGTTCTATTACGAGTCGGGAACTGTATTTGTTAGCCAAGTGGATATACCCCCTGCTCATAGGTTTCAGTCCCTTTACACAACTTGATGTAAAGTAGGCGAACAAAATTAGTTACCTTATTGGTACACATACTTCTGGGGCGCCCAAATTTGTGATGCGAAAAGCGATAGAACTGGTGATATAAACGCAATATTTACGCGATGATTAGTGTCTGTCTGTCAGCGTCTGACCTTGTTACGTACGAATCGAAAATTGGAAAGGGTCGTGCATCGCTTATATCTGGTTATCTTATTCAGAATGAGCGCGCAAAGATGAGCATGTCATCAAACCGAACAGAATAGGTCTTTCAGTGTGTTTTGATCAAGTAATTCTACAACCAGTACCAGATAATCTCACGTAAAAAATACGCCAATCACATTGAAATGACATGTTTCTATATACAATGAATGCATACAATATATGCATGAAAGCTAGCAACTTTTTTGTTTTTATTTATCTTAGTAATTGTTAATGTTTGTTTTAAATTTTAAAATTTTAAATATTGACGGTCGTCCGCGATTCGTATTGGACTTTTTCTTTTATGATATATATATTTGTAGATGATGAAAGGATATCTGAATAATCCGGAGGCAACAAGAAATGCCATAACTGATGATGGTTTTCTTCGTACTGGAGATATTGGATATTGCGACGAAAATGGAATGCTGTATGTTGTGGGTCGAATTAAAGAAGTTATCAAATATAAAGGCCTTCAGGCATGAAGGAATATATTATTTAGACTTCGAATTCTTCCAAAAAACATAAACTCATTTTATTATTTTTTTTTCGCAGGAAAATAAGGAGCTCTCCATCACGTTATCAATAAATATATAAATCAATAAATATACCGAAATTGTTATGTAAACCTAGTTAAATGAACGCACTCGAACGAGCCAGTCATGTCGTTCTGTATCATATATTCATCTGACTAAAATTGTTAGGAAAGTAATCAATAATAAAATATAAAATGACAGCATTAACTAAACTTTTCTCACATCAGGTTCCGCCAGTTGAAATAGAATCAGTTCTTCTAACCCATGAAAAGATTGCAGATGCCGGTGTGATCGGATTACCTGATAAAGAATGTGGAGAAATTCCTAAAGCTTTTATTGTGAAAAACGATGAATCCCTTACTGAAGACGAGGTCGTGAAATTCGTAGCAAGTGAGAAATATATATTATTCTTGGTAACCCTATTTCACGTGATCTTTCCAACTAATGTTCATCCTTTTTCAGGTAAACTGACATATTACAAGCATCTTCGAGGAGGCGTGGAATTTATTGTAGCAATACCAAAATCCACGTTCGGAAAAATACAACGCAACGAACTGAAAAAACTAGCAAAACTCATTCCTTAGAATAATTGTAACTGAATATTTAAATATTGTGCGAGCCAAACACTTTACAAACGAATGTTAAAACTCTAACAAATTTAAAGAATTCAATAAGAATTTTAGAATAATTTAACGAATAAAATTTATAGTCAAATCGGAGCAAGCAATGACTCCCTTGATCTTGCTTGTTGTCAGTTAATTTTGCCCGTCAAGTCAAGTCTGATCAAAACATATGAAGATAAAAATTCTGTTTGACACAATCAGTATTCACAGTTTCGATCAGATCTCTCTCCCATCTCACACAAAAAGAAGAAATAATTGGGAAATTTATGTTTTTTTTTGTTTGGCTGATCCTGTACTTGCCTTGTTTGTATTATGCAGCCAAAACAGACACCAACGGCCACATGGTTTAACAAAAGCCTACAGATGCACTTGCTATTTCACGGAAAGAGATTATGTTATAGCCATACTTATTCAATACGATCTAGCTAGCAGAGTTATTGCTTACGGGTATTTGTTCTCAGTAAATTTTCTACAACCTTGCTTACATGTTGCAAGACGTGCTTACAAGCAAAAAAGCATGTCTGATATAGAATAGCAAGTGACTCACTCACGGACATTTGCACCCATGAAGTTGTGAACTTATGGAAATTTAGAAATATGGATATTTTTGCTGACGAACATTTGTACTCGCGGACATTCGTATTCATGAATATTTCCACTCGCGTATATTTGCAAATATGGTCATTTTGAACTCATTAATATTTGTGTTTCAGACAATAATATTTCATTAAGATATATATGTATACCAGTTCTGTAAAGCAAACTGTCCTCTCCTGAGGATTGGTGACAAAAATCCTTAAACGCATATAAAGTGAGTTAAAATCAGAACCGGCCTATTGCCAAACGATTGCCTGGATAAACAAAGGGATAAAAATTGATTTCTGACCGGACGTCCAGAAGTATGGCGCACAACCTGAACATAGTGGTTGTACCAGGTTAGGGTCCAGGTTGTGCGCCATCTTGGTGCACATACTTCGGGAGCGTCTTCTGACCATATAGTGACTGTTGCCTTAATCAATTATATTAGATCACTCGTGAGAAGTGAATTCCCTTTTTTCCGCTTGTCTTGTTGTTGGAACTGTCTTGTGGTATAAACGAACGGCGTCGTATTTCGTTGTTTGAACATTCCAATATGATGAGTTTTGCATTGCTCCAGCGATTGACGAAGCCAACAAATCTCATAGTTTTAAAAACTGGACTACATTCTTCAACACTGGATCAAACAAGTATATCGAATTGGTGAAATCGTTGTAAATTTTTCAGTGTTTATCAAAGTTTAAATTATTGTAGATCAGATGATTATAAATTGATTACGTAGTATTCCAATAGTGTACCAAGTAAATTTCTGATTTTTACATTCAGCGACTGCGTAGAAATTTATTGTAATATATACATGATCAACACTTTCAAATGCAACAACATTTGTTAATCAGATTAACTCATTAATTTATTATATATATATATAGATGAACAACGTTAGCGTAGCTGTTCATTCTCATCATCTGATCCATGCGATACGAAATAAATATTATTTTTCATATATATATATACATATCACCTAATTTGCGTCATTGATGTAGACGTTAGTACTTGATAGTCTATATTAAGTTGCACTTCTGTTGACTCAAGAGTTATATAAACATAATGTATTAATTTCTCGCACGCTATCATGCAATAGCTTTAAATCATCAATTTTTTATCTGCCTTATATATTTCATTGTCATGTAAATTGGATACAGTTGTGCGAAGATTGTGTGACACGCTGTATTTGGTATAATTTTAATGTACCTAATTTTAATTATTATGTATTTAATGGCATTCTTCGAGAAATTACATCTCGTGCGAACATGTAGAAATGCACTCACTCCACTGTTGACTATATTATCAAATGAAGTTTTCCGGTAGTTGTTTTGAGAATGACTTGAAATTTAAAGATGCGCTTCTCGATTAACGTTAATTCTTTTTCAACTGCTCAATGCAATTAGTTGATTCTCGGTGACAAATTCGTTCGAGTGTTCTGTATATATATCGGAAGCTGAGTATAAAAACGAAATTGTTGATTCCCAATGTTTTTAACGTCACATAAATGATATTCCAGAAGTATAAGAAGATTCGATTCAAAATGAGATTCGAAACAACTCTCATTAATTTGTTGATATTGTGTGGGGTTGTCATGTCAGCAGACGACGCCTTAAAATCTCCGAAAACCTTGTATTCGGCGCCAACCGAATTTAGGCCAGCATTTTGCAGTTTATTGCTTGATCCGGTTACGGGGGAATATGACCTTGGGTATTCGTCTTTCAATGGCTTGCCGTAAGTATGTCTTATTAATTAATGATAAAATAAATTATTTAGATAGTTTTGATAAGAGCGTGATTGAGAATCGCTTTGAATTCTGGACTACGATTTTTCTACATATAAAAGATGAATTTTTTGAAAATTAGTTACATAATTCATAAGTTAAAGCAAAAACTGCATATATACAAAGTCTTATATATATATAAAATGTCTGTCTCATTATATATATACATAATTTGTGACTACCTTACTCTCTGTTGGAAAATGGCTACGGAACTGAGTTGCTGTCCGATGCTAAGTCTCAGAGTGAAATAACTCAAATTAACTCTAACCTAGCCAAATATATATGTTTGGAGTTTGACAGGTAACACGATTAAGATAATGATTTCGAATTCAAAAGCGGAAAATTTTTTAAATCTTGATAAAGCAATACTTAAATTAAACCAGATCGTTACCTGACAACGGCAATGATTTGAGCTTCATTTATGTTATATTTACGTCTACAGAAATGAACCGGACAACGTATTGAGAATCCCAACTGTAACACAAAATTACTTAGACAAAACTAAGATGGTATCTCAGGTTATCACAAACACGATTGTATGGCCAAACGAAATTGAGTCCGTGCCATGTAAGTGTACTATTCTTTATGATAAAAAGTTATTGTGACTATGCTAAAAAGTGTAGTGAAAAATGTTGTTTATAAAAAGAATAGCTACCAATTTCCAAATAGTGTTTGCAATTATTACATACATTCTATTTAATATTTGAATGAAATTCGTGACGTTAAAGTTCGAATCGACGTGGTTCAACAACTTTCCGATACGAAACATGTTACGAGATTTGAACAATATTCAATTATTTTTTTATTTATAATCCACCATTAGAAGAAATTTTATTCAGTGAAATTTCATTCAAATGAAATCAGACAGATGAGAAGATACTATTTGCTATTTGATTTCATTTTACTTTTAAATCAAGTTTCCAGTGTTTGAAAAATTCTTCCAAACCCCACCGTATTGCAAAACCCAGTCCAGTCGAGTTTTTCCATAATCGAGGAATATTTTTTAGATGGAACTTTTGGAAACTCTCATTATTGGACATCGGCCAGTGCATTTTTCATGCCCGGTCAAGACGATGGATCAATTTCATTGATTGATATGACTGACCCAACCAATCCAGGACGTAAGTTTTTTATTTTTTTCGAATTGGTGAATGTTTAAAAAACGATATATAAGTACGATTCTATATCGAATTTATCACAAACTCTCTCTATTTGAATTAAAAGACACTCGTTTTGGGTATGTGATATCTTCTTGTTACAAATTGGGTACTAGAGCTTTCTCTCTGCCTTGTTAAATCAAACTACAATAAATGAAAGAATTTTGAAATTCGACGTAGCCATAAACAAAGTGGATTTGATCTGGATTTTAATTGATGAAATTGATTCAGGGCGATATGCAATTTTTTTAAGATTTAAAAGCCTATCCAAGAAAATTATTTACAAAATTAGGGCGCTCCCGAAGTATGTGCACCAAGATGGCGCGCAACCTGAACCCTAACCTGGTACAAATGCTATGTTCAGGTTGTGGGGCATGTTGGTGCACATACTTCTGGAGGTCCAAAATTAGAGCGCCAGCAAACACGAGCATTTCTCCTATGTTATGATTCAAAAATTCTTTCCTTACATGATACGATTTGGGTGCACAAGTAAGGCTCAACAGCAAACATTGGTAATGACGGGCAATGAGAGGAAATTCATTTATTTCATATATTTTACGTGTATTATGACGTCATTGCATTGCACGTCATTCCATATCACGTTGGGATTTGGTAAATAAACTGTAAAGACTCAACCACCATTAGTTGAAAATAAATTTATGAATGGGACTGATGTACGTGCAAAAACTAAATTTCATGCAAAAACATTTTTTCATTATAGAACCTATAAAAATATCGTCGACAGAGGATAATAAAGAATGGTATTATCATCGTGTGATATGGCACGACATGGACCTAGACGGCGACTACGACGCGGTTACTGCAAGGGCATACGGAAATTCTAGTGAGTGCATGAAGTTCAAAGTTTCACATCTCTTCAACCTTTGTGCGAGTGCAATCTTCGATGAGTTAATCAGTTGTCTGGTGTTTAAAATCTTAGAAATCCGGTGAAATTTTAACGCAATTTATTGTATGGGTGCAAAATTTGACAATAGGAATGATGTACATTTATATATATTCTTCACTTCTTAGCCAGTGCCGACGAGTCACAGTTAGTCTGGTTTGAAAACTCCGGAGTAAATCCACCAACAGAGTTTTGGAAGGCTCACGTGATATCTACCGGATATGAGGACGTTCACTTCAGAATTCACAATCTTCCGTTACCAGATGGATCAGAAACTGCAGTCATTATTAGCGGCGGATTTTTTAGGTAAGCGTTTACCAATATTTGGAGTATAAAAATTATACTAAAAAGTCTCGGTTGGAATTACCACTAACCCGACAAGAATACGGCATCAAATTAAAAAGACTATTAATTTGAAGGAGACGCAATTGGCAATTTCTTTCGATTGGTAATAAGTTTTGATTTATTCGGGCAAATTAATTTATTCTATTCGAAATTTATAATCCAACTCGCAGCACCTAATAAATATAGCCAATCCCGATTACATGTCATAAAATGTTCACAACAATTTTTCTCAGTCGTTCCCTGACATTAACCTGGACAACGGGTGGAGATTGGAGCAATACCGCATCAATCCATCATCGTGTTATTGATACTGCGGGATGGTATTTTGATCTCAAGGTAATATATTGAGTTTATCCGTTTATAAACCTTATGTTCATTAAAAGGTTTAGAATTGAGACTACTTGTAGAAACATCGAAATACGAATCATTGGCTGGCAGAGCGTAGTCAGCCCAATTTTTTTTTCTCGTTTGGTTCATTTGGTGAAAGGATTATTGATAGCAAACCAGGAAACGTCCGGTTTTCAGTAAATCGTTCAAGAATAGAGCAAAATTGTGTTGGGAGGGGCGTATGCCCCCCTGGGAGGGCCCCATTGCATTAAAAAAATTGTTAACAATTTTTGGGGAGATGGCATGGTCTCTCAGGCTACGCCTATTTTGGCTGCAGTGTAATGTGATTTGACAAGACTATCATTTTGACAACAATAAATAATCAAATTCTCCAATATGCTAGTAAAGTAAGCCAATGTAGTTGTTATCGCCATTATAAAAGGCTTTGCAATTTTTCTCATCAATATCAAATCAGATTATTTTGTGTCAAACTTATTTTAATCATTACACAGATAGAAGACCTGAATGCTGATGGCAAAGATGACATTCTCATTACAACATGGAGTAGACCTGGACCCGATATTGGATCTCTTTTGGCTTATGAAATGCCCGAAGGAGATTGGAGAACAGATGAATGGACAAGGTGGTATTTTTAAAATTTAAAATATTGGTTCTAAAAATCAATCTTATATAATGCTCGAATATTATTCGAAAATTCCAGTTGGCTTTACCCTATTATGATTTATCAATATTGATGTGAATATATATACCACGCAACAAATAATTTTTGTATAATTTTTTATTTTTTTTTATTTTACAGACATGTTATTTCTACTGATTTCCACGACGACATCAGTCCCGGAAGTGGTTCTCCCGGGGCCCCTGCACCATTTTGGCGATCAACTACCTCCAAGGAAAATGGAGAGTGAGCTAACATTTATTATAATTCTATAGACTGAAATTGAAATAATAAACTAACCTGTACTGTTATAATCATGTTTCTATCGATAAATATTATAAAAATATTGACGACGATTTGTGTAAATTACAGTAAATCAATTAAATCGGTGTATATCATGCAAATTAGATAAAGGTTAAATTTGATCATGGGTTGTTCATCAGAGTATCAAGTGGGTAAATTTGCAGCCTACTATTCGCCATATTCTGTACCTAATTTATTGAATCAAACAAGCTTACTAAAATTAATCTTCATATCGTCACGCTAATAACCGAATTGCGTAAGTCATTTTTGGCAGTTTTGAGAAAAACGTAAAAAACTTCCTAATAATTTTGTTATGCAATTGAGAGTCAATAATTTGCCATGGTTCAATTTTTTAATCGTAGCCGGATTTAAGTTAACTTGTATGACGTAGTTAAGTGACGTCATAATGGCGCACTGTGACTTAGGCAGAAATGTGTCTATGACTTGGGGACATACGCAATTTGCAACTTCACTATATGCACCAGTCCTGAAAACTAAACATTCCAAAAACGAATTTAATTCTCAGTATCTACAATGTCTAATCTCCAAAATAGCTAATCAGTTTCAATTAAATCATTTTTTATGTTTAAAAATATATATTTCATCAATATAACACGTTCTGCACACCCACCGAAATAGGACTAAGATTAAATATAAAGAAAAAAACAGCAATGCACCCAATATAAAAGCCAACCAAGGTAAATTTGACTCGGACAGTGAATATCACAAGTGTACGTCTTCCTATACTGTAGTAAAAATTCAAATTAATACACGCTAAGCTAGAATCCGAGATGCAAAAACTCGAAAATACTTCGCCGAGGTTATTTTGCCTTTGTGACGTCACAATAGTACTGCGGTAACAAGGATAATTCATTATGACGAAACAATTGCACAAATGTGCATGTCATACTAAATCTCCATTTTTATGGGTTTCGGAATTCCTAAAATAAAATCTGAGTTAACAGACAGGTGCGCAGCATTACATAAATACCTATTTTATAAAAAACTCAAAATCGCCAAAAATGACTTGCGCAATTCGGTTATTAGCGTGACGATATATTATATCAGAAACTAACTTCTTTCCAGGAAAGCACATCTTCTTGTGAGCGGTGATGATGACGGACAGGCATACTTACTGGTACCAAATACAGAAGATCCTTCTGACTGGTCATACACTAAATCAACAGTGAGTATGAATTGGGAAAAAAAAATAATAAAACTCAATCAGGAACAAAGTAATGCGGAGATTATATCGTTTGCTCTAGCCTAATCTTGGTAGATCTACGTGACGTTGAAATTAACTTTCTACCAATTTGATTGAGTTTATTTCCTTACGACTTTATCCAACTATACATACTACAGTAATTACTTGAATCTAACTTCAAATTCAGCGAGCTTATAGAAGGCATTTCTGAGAATTTGTACCAATGGTAGGCTACTCGAAACGACTATGTGTATTATGGTTTCATTATTATATCTCATCCGTCTGATATTAACAGATTTTCCGTGCCTTCGGTACTGTTGGGACAATGGCTATTGGAGATGTGGACGGAGATGGTTATACTGAGATTTTCATCCCGGCCTACAACACTAAGCAAATCATTGTTTTAACCTACAAGCCGTAGAATTGTACCTAGATAGGCCACATCAGATCAACACTTTAGTGTACAATGTAGATGTGAATAAACTAATACTATAAACGGTGTGAAAGTAATTAGATGTAAATGCTTGGCCGATGAATATTGACTTGTGAAAATTGGGTAGCTAATCAAGCGAAAGTCGCATTTACATAGTCAATACTGAAATCAAGTATAGAAAACCAAAAATCTTGCTAAAGATTGAATTATTTAATAATTTTCCGAATACATCGCTTATGACTAGCAGGGGCGATTAGAACACGATCGATCGCTTGTAGATCTACTATGAGTGATGTTTTCACATGTAGTTGAAGTCTTTAAGTAACTTTCATTTAATCATTCTACATTAAATGATATTAACTATGGTCTTAAAATTATTGGGTACTTATACATATATTATTTGTACCTCAGGTACCATACTCCTTATCTCGCAACAACCAATTTTTTTGTTAACCCTTGTCGACATGCAGTGTACTCTCAGCTCTGGCTAACCAAAACTAAAACTTGTAAATCAGCCTACAGGGTTAGAAGCATGACAGGGTTAGAAGCATGCTGCAGAAGAGGCGCAAAATGTCGGATAGCTTTGATATGTACGTGATTTTCTGTACGGTGGAAAACATACTACTGATTGCGAACGTTCACCGGGTCATTTTTTCTCTAGCAAGGGTAAGTAGACTCCCATTTTCCCACCATAAAAAACATAATGAGATTAGTCGTCAATCCCCAGATTGTGTCCTCCCGAGTTCCCGGTCATATTTTATCGTTGGCTATGTGTATTTTGGGGAATAGGGCTGACTTATTACCTTTCGAAATTCGAGGCTTTCGTTTTTCAAGTCAAGCATACTGAAAACTAAATATTCTTGAAATACTGAACCGCAAAAATTTCTGTAATGATATTTAACACACTTACGAGTCATTTGAACGAACTATAATATAACATGCACACATTTATTCTGCACGACGAAAACAAAACCGAGACAAAAACAATCACTGAAACTGGGACTGGAGACGACCAGATGCAAGAGGCTGACTGATACGCGTCCAGGTCAAAAATCGAATTTTTGTAATACAAATTTAAAAGAAATGTTGGAAAGAAACACCATACTGTAATGAATCATGTTAGTTTTGAAGGTGCAAATTAGATGAAAATATGTGCAGAAAGCAATAAATAAAGCTATTGTATAGTCCATGTAACATATATATCGAAGTTTAAACTAGGCCATTTCACCAACCTTACAAATGTGAGTAACTCAGCACACAAAATAGACAGATAACGACAAACATACACATTTAACACAATACTATACTCTGGACACAACGTGAACACTATTTAACACCATAGCATCTACCTTCATATAAAATTCGGAATAGGGAATAATCTAGCTATTATTTCCTTACTATTGTTTGTTTGAAACAAATTTTTGGTTGTGATTAAGCACATCTTGCCAAATGAATATAATTCTTGTATTCTTGAGTAACACCACCGGAAGAGAATTTCAAAACCGTATTGAAAAGAACAATCATATAAATATAGTCCAATGTGCAATTATGACGGCCGCTATGTCAAATTTTTTGGAATAAAAATTTATAGTATTATGTACTGTTCAATTCTAGTTCTAACAGAAAATTAACCATGTTAATTGAGAGAATCAAAATGATAAAACAATAAATTTTGTTATAATGCATCAAGCAATTTTCACATACCGTTTTTATTTTTCACAAATTTAAAACACCAACGCATACTTTCCACAAAAATTTAACATTTTGACAAAATCAGAAATGACTGCATCACCAAATCATGACATTAACAAATTTTTTGTATCACATACAGGGATGTCCAAAAAGTTTAGTTAAAATAAAACCCAAAGTAATAGATTGCTTCATTGAAATTTTCTACAGACTCTCTAAAATTACTTCTTAATATGTGTAGTAAAACGTCGTATGTACATTTTACTGATTATTATAAGAGTATTGGGGGTTCAAAATTGAACTAAATAAATAACACAGCAGTTTTGTAAAGACATCCCTTGTCACAATTTATACATAATATGATTTGGTATCGATTTCTTTGATAAAATTTAACAAGCAGCTTCATGGGGCCAAATACTAAAACAGTTATACTGCAAAATGACGCCGAAACATCGAATAGAGAAAGCGTCAAGGAATATAAAATTTTGGATACATAACATCAGTAATAACGACAGTTGGATGTGACAAAGGTGAACAAAGCTTAAATAAGTGAGATACAAATGATCTAATTAACAAGCAGTTCAGTTGTTGTATGTTAAAGACATCAATATAACACAGCATATTTTACAAAGTGTTCCATAACCATTTTGCCTTCGAATTATTCAATTTCAATCAGTATGAAGGGTGACCCCAAAAAACGGAACCCAGAAGATTTGTTCCAAATGGCCTGGATTCCGTTTTTTTCGGGTCACGCTATACTATATTCATTTTCAATGACTTGAAAACACTGTGACATTGTAACACAACATTTATTGAGACTAGGATAGAACAAATATAGGGGAAAACATTAACAATAACAGTAAATAACATTTAATAAGGACAAAATATAAACTCTTATATAGAATTTCTATGTAACATATACTTTTATTACTATTAGGAAAATTATCAATAACAACAATAACCATTGTCACACTGAAGAGAATACTATATCTGCCGATTTAAAGAAATCTAGACATAACGAATAAAAACAAATAGAGGAGCAAGAATCTGGGATGGAGCTAGGCATTTTAAAAATTCTCAGTAAATTTAACTGTGCACATTATGAGTGATCCTATAAAGTCGCAATCCTGGATACAGAATTTATCATACGCTATTCAGCAGTTACAAATTTAATGAATTCAAAAGTCACACGAAACTTTTGTCATAAGTTTAAAATGAATAATGGCACAGTTAAGATATTTTCAGTAACTATATGAGCTTATGATGTCATTAAACAAAAGGTTCCACTATACAGATTTTAAAATGCCTGGCTTAATCACAGAAAAATAAATACAATATATATTTAATTTTGTTTTTGTGGTAAAACAAATGAAGAAAACAACGAAAAAAAATTCCAGAAACACCGTAAATATAACTATATCTCACATATTACTGATATGGGATAAAATATAACTCTCGACTAAAAAATGAAAACAACAAAAAATAAAAATAAATAAAACCATGAACTAATAAGAGGACTCCCAGGACAAACACAATTTAAAATCAAACTAACGAAATGGTTTTGGGTGAAGATCAAAAACTAAATGCACCGATATCAATACCATCCGCACCAAATGCTCGAACGTAAATACAACTAATTGAGGTTAGCATTATAAACTTGAAGCTAGAAAAAAACATCATAATCTTTTGAGCACTTTGTCAAAAGTAATGACATTTTCATTTTGAATGTTGTAAAGTCAAATTTAAATAAATGCAAAATGGGTATCTCTCTTACTTCTGCGATTCAAGATGAATGCTGCAAATATCTACTCTGAGAAATCATATATTTTGTCAAAAGATAATTTTGACAACTTCGCTATTATTCTGTACATATATATTTGTAATTTGAAAATTAACACTGTTGAGTATATTTCTACAAGTACAACTCCAATGAATCCCATACTAAAACTAGTTGGGAGTCGAAAAACACACTCCTCGAGAGTAATATAAAAACACCTTCGATTCTGGAACTAATAGGAAAAATTTAAACTCCGCAAGTATAACACAATGCAACATATTTTCATAGTATATACCACATTTCTGACATAAAAGTATAGTATAAGATTTTATCACCCCACTATATGACCAGACATGGTTGACGAAACTGGGGTGTGTAACACCAATCTTAATACATTGTGGTGAAATAATATGTGAATTGGAATTTCGAAAACTACATTAGGAACTGAAAACCAGTCCATTATCCAAACTTTTTTTAGATGTATATTTCTTTAGTTCGATTCTCCTAACATTGTCAGACTACACAATAAATTGCCATTAGTATTGTTAGCAATCATTAAAACGACAAAGAAGAAAAATCTTATCTACAGTAAACAGTGTGTGATTTCACACAGCCACGCATGATGCAATATCGTGTAAATGTTCTAATAGGCAGCTGGTTAGAAGAAAACTTTGTATGATGCTTCAGATACAGAATAGTGTGTCAAGAAGAATCAATGTAACAGACAAAGGAATATGGGACATGGATCTCTATCATTCTGCAACACGAATGAGCACTTGTTCTCTAGATATAGTGACGTTGAAATCACAATAAAATTGTTTTGTTAAAAAATCTCCAAATCTGAATTTTAACTACGAACTCGACAAGTAGATAAGTGTTGATATTATGACAGGCTAACAATTCTAAAATAAAGGATTTGACAAATTTGCAATCAGTGAGTGACACTTGTCATTGGGAAAGGGCAGAATATACAAATCAAATGTCCCATACTCCTAGTGTCTTCACTTTGACATCTCCTGATAGAAAAGTGCAAAAAAGAAACCAAGAAATTTGATATCAATTTTCAAACAAAGTAAATTACAAACAAACTGTTGACTTCTTCACAACATAAAATGAATAAGAACAAAGTTGAACACGAACGCAATAACTTTTTCACAACAATGACGATGAACACCCTTCAAAAATTTGTTGACGTGTTTGTTAATAAGGTTTGCTGTCATTTTTTGAACGCTTCAATTGGACTTTTAATCGTTTCATACCAATTTGAAATCCGTTCATTGCTTGAATAGCATTTTGTGCCGATACAGAATTGTCATAGCTTACAAAACCTATAATAAAAGAAATGATGTCAAGTTAGTATCAAACCAGCAGATCACAGAGTACCAAACAAGAAAGAAAATCTGATTTTAACCATATATGTATACAAACCAAACGATAGTAATTTTGTTTCTAGCTTTATATTTATTTACATCACAAACAATTGAATTGCATTTTACATAACATGAATGATGCGATTCAACAGTGCAGCCTGATTACGCGAGTAAAAAAAGTATTTTCTATATCCATGGACCAGGAAATGCCTGACCATATTCATAATGACAAGCCGTATTGTTTGATTGTTTTTCATTGAATTGAACTAAAGTTACACACCCGGCAGTAAGAACTTAATCGGAGAATTATGGGAAGAGTAGCCAACATCTTGATGTAGCCATATTAGATACTTAGGATCCTCAAATGACAGCTCTAGTAATGTCCAAAGCAACAACCTAATCCAGAGATTAGTTGAGCTACATAATATCAGATTGAGTCTATTTCAAATTCATATCTTATATATCTTCATCAACGATGCAAGACGGTTGGATCGTTGTGAATACATTTCATTATCTTCGGGCCATGAAAAGCGGCATGTTTTTCATGGAAATTATCCCAGTCCAATGCGTATAGGTTTTATACAGAATGTACACGTTCAAAATCAAGGACTGTATTGTTTTGTTTGAGTCGATCCAGCCTCGCATTCATGGGTCGAAACGTCTGTAAGCCTGAATGATCGATCTGGTGGAAAAGTTTTAAAGCAACGATAACAAATCTTCAAAAATTTCTCTGTGAGGCTTACTATTTGCTGGACATTTTTTCTAGCAAAACCTTATTACCGAACCTGTGTGTCGAGGATCCTTTTTCATAATAACATCTTATCTTATACCTAGAATGCATTTCAATAATAAAGCTTTCAACTTACCAAAACATTTGCTGAGATTTGTCTGTTTGTCAATAAATACTTTAGAGGAAATGACATTTCCAAAAGGTAGAAAGGTCTGCATGAGATCGTGGTCACTGAACTCTGACGGCAAATGATATATAAATAGGTTTGCACCTTCAGGACCTTGAAATTGAAACAAATAATCTATAATTAATGAAATTCGAATATTTTAACCCAAAATTTTTTTTTCAAACAACAGACTCTTTTTTGCATAGTTCGCTATTTCATCATTGAAATAATATTCATTGAATTTTATAGATTGAAATTTGACATATAGCGAGGTTTTAATCTAAAATATATCAATTCATTGTTGAAATCAAACTAACCGTATCAGAATTCTATACTACCAAAGTATTTGGACGCGAACACAATATATCAGCTTACCTTCTTTTTGACTTCCCGCAGGTCCATTAGCATTCATTAGCGTCTGAGCATAAGCTGAAAATGATAGTTAAAATCCATTTTTAATTAGAAAGAAGAATGATTAGAATATAGATAATGTATGAAAAAGAGTATAAAGAAGTATTTGCCAGGATAAATGTTTCTATTATAATGATAATGAATGCACAATAGATGTGGCGTAGTGCACACTTTTGTAACATTGGCTATCAGCAATGTGCGAAAAGTGGTGAAAGTAAAACAATAAAATTTTAGCAGCCACTCAAACACTTTTCTCACTGAGACAGATTTTCAGGCATGGTTGCAAACATTACCTCATTTTCATGGTTTTGCACGCTATTTGTCAGTTTTTAGTCGAGTTGCGGAATTAAAGTATAAACCAAATAGTTTGAACTTGTTTTTAAATTTACTCAGTCAATATGTCAATAACATCAATAGAGATCATGGAGAATTATTTTTTAAAGTCCCATTCAAGAAACTAGAAATATCCCCGGATTCACACCCACTTAACCAACGCTTCGGAAAAATAATAAAGCGAACTGTGAAACATTACATGTCGACATTAACCCTGTCGATTATGAAATAATGAATACACTGAATGTTATATTTGAAAAGCTTCAAATGAAGCAATGAATTTTATTAGAGAAAATATTGTTCTATATTGATCTATTTAGTCAAAATTGGTACGTGGCTGATATCCATGTTGTTAGGAACATGAGATATCTTGAATGCCTAGTCAGGCTGTTCCAGAAATGCCACAACGCCACATCTTTCGCCTTACCTAACAGTAACAATCCAAGCCTACAAAGTCTCGTCAAAGTCGGTTTTAACTAAATTATTAAAAACGCTTTGTTTAATAAAGTAAAATAACTTACGATTTGCATGCAATCCAGTCATATTAGCCAAAACGCCACCAGGACCTGCGTTCATTCCGTCATGTTGTGGACCATTCATACCAAGCGAACACGTCATTTGACTAAGAGGATTGTTATTGTTGTTATGGCCATGGTTATTTGTACCATTATACCCATTGCTTGATGTTGATCCTCCATTGTGCGGCGCTGAAATGATCAGAAAGACAAAAATGCAACGCTTGAATTTTGAGATGAAAAAAGTATCTCGAGATTCTAATATTTATCTCGAGATTCTAATATTTATCAGTGTGTGGCCAAGAGGACATTGCGTTGACGTAACTAGGATGACGCCACAGTTACATATTGAACCTTTAAACACAGTCGATTATTCATTGCTAGTTTGTTGAGTAAATCACAGTGAGGAACAATAATAAACAAAAATAACATGGTCCTCAATTAATATAAGTATCTCGCTTTATCTAAGTGATTGCTTGTAATAACCATCGATATCTAGTTGAAAAAAATAAGATTTTTTCAGTTATGAATTTAAAAATGAAATCTCTATCAAAGCATAGTTAATGAAAAATAGATATAGTTTATACTACAGCAAGTGTTGGCAAAAAATCGACAATTTCAATCTTCGACATATACATGCCAGATCATGATAAGCCAGATTTGTTTGAAAAATGTCTCATGATATAGTTTGTTATTGAATTTTCGAGTTACCAATACAGGAGAAAATCAATATATCATTATTTCTCACTTGACAAAACAATTTTCTGGCAATGTTTATAAAACAAAATCATAATATTTCATTATCTAATATTTATATTTGCATGTGAAAATATTATGTGGATATAATCCAAATACACTGAGTGTTATTATTTGCATTGCCATTTAGACAAGATTTAAAAATATTTTTACTAGACACACAACAAGCCTTTGGTTTTATTAGAATAAACATCACATTACTCACAATTTTGGTTCCACAGTGGAGAATTGTGATTCTGTGTTCTATAGTTTCCATTACCTTAAATAAAAGAGAGAGTTTACAAACTTAGTATAAGGCAATGCTAGATAACAACCTTATATATATTTAAAATAAAACGAAACCCATAGAACTCACAGAATTGTTTGAAATAAATAAAATTAATAGCCTTCTAGCGAAAACAACACTTTTTAACCACTAAATATTTCAAAGCAAGTGTTCCAATGGTTAATGATAGAACCGATTTTTTTCACAACAACAACAAAATTATGCATAGGTATACAAAAATCCTTCATATAGAAGAATCTGATTGAATTACAAGCAAGAATAAAAAAGTATTTGAATGTAGATATTCATTAATAAAACTTTTTTCCAAGATGCATGTGGTCCAACATAAAAATAGTTGGAATTGGTAAAACCACATACCTCCAGGATTGATTTGGATATTATTGCTACCATGAGGAGAAGATAATGTTGACAGTGGAGCTCCTGTAGAACCAGTTGCTGTGTTGCCGAGACCAGGACTCACTGGACTCATAGTACCGGTACCGACCGATGACTGATTATTGTTAAGAATAGACTGTGCAGCAGCAGCTAATGCTAAGGCTTGTTGCAATTGTGCACTCGATAACTGGCCTGGACAAGAAAAGTATACATTGAGATATACATATTCTAGTACAGGGGGTGCAACATTTTTGTCGGTGGACCATATAACCAACTTCAGACATCTAGCTAGGCCACACATAAAATTTAGTTTTTATAAATTACTACGTCACAATATAATGTTGTAAACAATGTTATGAAAGCTTGCAGGAATGGCAAAAAAGCAGGTATCGATTACTGTAACGAGAGCACCAGGCAAAACGACGAAAAATATAACGCAACAACAAGAGCAAATAACATTATGTATATTTACCCATGTGAGTGCCTTTTTAGGTACTCCAGTAGTGTGTGTACCAAGTTAGGGTTAAGCCTTAATTTTATTCCATTTTTCCTTATTTTAGTTATATTATTACAAGTTTGGGGACTGTCTGTGTAAGCCAAGTAAATATACCCCCTGCCCATACGTTTCAGTCCCTTCACACAACTTGATGTAAAGTAGGCGAACAAAATTAGTTACCTCCATATTGGTACAAACACTTCTGGATCCCCTTTTTGAACATAAACTATTGGACTAGAATTTTACGCTTGATGGGGGAAAAGTGTTGAAATGGGCCACACTGAATAGCTGTGGGTTGGTCGAGTTGTGGCCCTGGGTGTCGCCTGTTGAGCAACCCTGTGTATAAGCTCAAAGCAAAGTAATAAAATAATGTCCGGAGTCAAATGTTGTGAAATATCAGACTTGCATAGTAATGAAACGTATAGATCAGAGCTTGTCAAACTTTTTTGGAATGGTACACCCTTTTAACCCTTTTTCAAAATCTGGTACATCCCACCCATCCTACATTTTTAATACGTAAAGAACTAAATATATAGAAGTTATACGTCATATATATGTTTATGTCGACACAACCTCTCATTAAAGTATCTGCATTTTTTTAAATTACTTTTTTTAATTTAATTTCAATGAGTGCAGAAAAAACCCTTGTTCGGGTAGGTATGTTGTAGGCATTCAGACGAGAATGGTGACAGCTTTCCCCTGCAAGATTGCGATTTGCGATACTCATGAACTTCTAGTAGTGCTGCCCAAAATTGATTGCAGTTTTTATAGATTTTGAACTTTGCGTTTTGTACCGGATCTGATCGTAAATTTCTGAAAACCTTTCAATGCCTCTTGGAATAAGACCGAACAAATTTAATAAATTTTTACGACAAGAGCTTTTGTGTACCGTTAACAAGGTATCAAACTGCTACAAAATTACAATTATGACAATTACAATTAGGACAGGCAGATAACAAAAAATGCCAGACATAAATTTTGCATAGGTTTACACGAATGGGTTAGATTGATATTTCATACAATTGCCAATTTTAGTGCATTCAATTAGCATACCATGTGTTAGTGTGTACCCTACAACATTCGGTACGGTACACCCTATCAATGTGGAACACCCTTTGACCTTTGGTACACCCTGGGGTGTACTATACACCTGGTTGACGAGCACTGGTGTAGATTAATACATGATAGACTGATGGATACTGTATAGCTGGAAATGGCAGAAAAAATGTGGTTCTACATTAGGGTGAAGTTTATCACACTTAAATGTCAAGATTAATGTTGCATTTTCCATGCTTAATGCATCGCTCATGATTTATTTGTATGAAATTAAGTTAGTGCTTTAAATCACTTCATATTAATATGTCGTCATTATTGATAAAACATATGGGCAATGTACTCAATCATGAATAAATGGAAATAAATATCAGACTGAATATTCCAAAATTAATGAGAATTTGGAAAGCATGCAATGACTAAGATGATAATTACCTAAGTTTGGCATCTGCATAGGATTATTTCCAAACTGATTCGAATAATTTTGAGCACCTTGTTGAAGAAGCTGAAACGCAAACAAAGGGAAATTTATCCATTCACATTCAGTGAAACGGTTTATAGAAATTTGCAAGTGAACTGTGGACTCGAGCTCAAAGTCCAGTAAAGACATAATATTGATGTAACGTCTGGATACTGTGGGGAAACACACAAATATTATTATATCAAAGTTCAGATGTAAAATTATGGGGAAATAAAATATAATTTATTGTGAAAGAGAACGTTGACAAGGTAATAAGATCATTACAAGTGTGGCACAAGCAAGTGTGACATAGATCAAAGTTTGCAATTTGATTCCTAAATAAGTAAATATTGATTGAGACTTGCATAATTTGCCGAGGCATAAAATATGGCCGCGCAAGTAAACACAGAGCTTAAAAACACATTTAGCACTATTTTTGATATCATTTCTCCTAACAGCATTGATTACCCATTTCTATATTCAGTGATACAATATGAAAAGTTCTACAATTCTACATAAAGAATCTACGGTACTATGGCTTGGTTATTATCATTTATAATAGCTATTCATACTATTTCTGAATACGAAAATCACTCAGACAAGCCATGGGCAAACATAAAAAAATATTCAAGTTGGACTTGAGGCGAAGATTCTAATTTTATTATTATAAATTCTATTTTGTGCCATATCACCAAGTAAACCAAATTAGTGTATGTCATATTTTAAAGTTTTGAGGAAATTGCATTTCTGCAATTTTTATATCTTTACATTCAAACCTAAATATGGAAATCAGGCAGGCATTATCTAAGACTGAAATAGCACCAAAAGATGCCCATGGTCATTCTGAAAAATGTGACATTGGATAACTTGGTTTTAATAACTTGTGCGGTGAAGTACTAGCTTGTGCCATGACTATTTAAAAACAACCTATACCTATCCAGACAGAAATATGCACATATTTCGAAATCAGGTGAGCGTGATTATCTGAACTTTGGAATGAGAATACCGGTAGGTACTTACTGCTTAATCAATATAAGGTCACTTACTGGGGCAATCATGGCAAGATTAGCAAGGCTTTTCCATTGATTTGTGAGTGCGTTTATCTGTGTTTGTACTTGTGTTTGCATCTTCTTGCGTTCTTTATCTTTTGGTGTGTCGGCAATTTTTACTACCAAGGGGGCTGAGCAACCCTGTAAACAATTGAAATCAGTCAGCAAAACAAATACTCTTTGTCAGTCGAGATTGCAAAGGAAATTAAACCAATTTTGTAAACTTAATTTAAGAAACAAGCTTTCTCTAATACAGAAAGAGCTTTGCCACAAAAAAAACGTTGCTACTTTGGTATGCGATCTCAACAATTGTGTGATTTCATTGATTTTGGTTAGGAACTGAATTCTACGAAAACGACTTCATAAGATGGTATGCTAATGACTATTGAGATCATGTAAACTGTAAAGCAAGTGAGATCGCATACCAATGTAATATGTATATCCATGTAAACTTCAACTAAAGGAACAACAAACCAGTGCTCAAAACTTCTCTTAATAAAAAGAAAGTTTCAAATCATTTAATCTAGAATACACATCTCTTATAGGTCAACTGTTTCCAATGAATAAAGTCAAACGATATTTTCAAACTAATAGGCCTACGGGACAATGCGTGCAGTTAATCTACCAGAAGTGGTTAAAACCTGTTTGCAGGGTTAATCTGATATCCATATTCAGAAAAAGAAAAGAGTAGCAAAGGATTGTTGAATGATAAATAGGATGGAATTTTTATATCAATCCCGGATAGAGGTGAAGCCGATGAATGACTAAAAATGAGCGTATAGCGAACAGCCAAGGCCTCTCGTCTGGTTACCAGTCCATGTCGGGTATGGGAATAGCTAATCAGCTATTGTTTCAGATGCATAAACTTGCATTAATGCGTATAGCCTAGATTCTGAATATTTTAAATATGCCGTTATGGAACAAAACTGAGATAAATATGTAGAAAGATGTACTAATAGAATTATATCATTCTCATTATTCGAATTCTTATATAATTGATCAGCAGATATTAGTTACAAAATCCATTGTTTTAATACATGCTTGGTTATCTCCAGTTAGAAAATTGAAGCACGTCCGATTCAAAAACATATTTCACATCAGAACATGGCACACTAGACACAGAATAATGATTTTCATGAATAAAGGGAAATTACTTAATTTCTAATAAGTTGTCATGCATCATTGAATATCCATAGATCAATCATAACACCCTAAACAAACTCAAACATATGGAGCTTGTTATAATATCGAAATAAGGTTGGCCTTATTCTCATTCAAAGAAATGACATTCCGAACTGCGCATACAAAATAACAAACACTAGAGTATAAAACATGAATATCCATAGGAGTATTGCTATCACCTGTTAAAGGTACTTGCGGAATATGACATTGATAAAATATTCATTACAGCAGGTGTTTTATGATGACATTCTCACATTGTGAGAACGGCCCCCACTACACCCTACAATAAAATGCACTTGACTGTTCGCCAATTTAGGATAATGCATAGTAATAAGTACCTATACTTTTGTACAAAGGCCAGAACGATAAAATTCTTTAAACTAAATTCCTTGAACCAACATCTTCAATACATGAAATATCAGAAAAAATAAAGACAGAAACTGAAGGTGCTAAAAATATAAAACCTGATTTTCCAATAACAGAGTGGAATAAGAGGGAACAATAAGAAATTTCAGTATCCATTTTGGGATATAGGAAGTTATACATTTTATGAACATTACTGAGGTTAACTCTCTTCTTCAATCATATTATGTTTTAGCTGCCAATGATGTTGTTTGTTTTCAACAAACATACTCTCATTTTACCAATATCCACGTATGAGACCCAAACAAACAAAAAAATACTTCTCGTAATCTCATGAGATGGACACAAATTTTTGTAAAGAGGCCGGCCCTAATTCGACATAAAAATAAGTTTACTAAACAATGCAGCAAGTTTTTCATTGATGTACCCATTGATTATAGAAGCTAAGACTCGGGTTTCTTTTTTTATTATAAAAATGTAATTCATGTCTCATTCAGTAAAAACGTTCGCTATCCCTGGGCTATAGGCTATAACATAATATGAGTGGGATGTGTAGAATGGGTAAAGATGTAAACACATGAACTACTTTTACAAATCAAAACATTATGTGTTAGATTGAACTGGGGCATCTAAAAATTCATTGGGTCGATTGTTATTTCAACAAGAACTTGTGCTTATTGAATTTATTTTATATTAAATTAAATCAGAAATTTTATTCAAAAACTCACTAATAGCAAACAAGTGCAGCTTTTTCATTAGAGCAACTTTGAAGTAATTTATTGCAAAATAAACGTCATGTTGAGATGATTGTTTTGAATTAGTAGTTTAATTTTGTGGCCATTAAAGTACCATGCCATTTTATATTTGAGCATATTCTTGGGTCCAGCTCGTGAGCTAACAAAAATAATTTTTTTTCTTAAATTTACTAACACATGGATATTGATAAAATGATATGTTTATTAAAAAACAAACTACGGTATTGACAGCTGAAAGATAACATGCTTGTAACAGACTACAAAGAAATAAGTGAGGGAACCTCAGTAATATTCATAAAATGTATGACTTCATAAATTCTAAAATGGATACAATTCCTGAAATGAGAGGCCAGCACGAGTAAAGAGAGATGACACATATCACATATTGGTATTGGCATTTTTGGCTATGCCATCAATCCAGATATTCTATCTACAACTTCACATTTATTTGCAGAATACTAAACTACAACACATAACAGGAAAGAAGATGAGTAGGCACGACAGGTTCAAGAGGGTTCGCCCTATAATAGTAATTCCAATAAATTCGATCCATGAAAAACTTGTAATTATCTGATCAATAGTAAGGGATAAAGGCAGTTGCCTCCGAATGACCTGTAGCCTAGAACTAATTAATGCGAGAGAATAGCACCATGAGATCAAATACACAATTTGAAAAAGAAAAGCATGAGACTATATCCATCTCATATGCTATTTTCAAATCAATTAAAATAAAACGTCAACAGAACTAATTGGATACTGTATGAGTGTATAGGATTCTGTTTTTATACGGATCATTGGGGCATATAGAAAATAGTTGGATGACGCAGAAGAAAACAATTTCCTTTAAATTAAAATCAATATTTTCAATAATAAAAATGTTTACAGCATGTAGAAAATTACTGACAATATAATATATGTGTGGTAGATCTATATTATCAATATATCTATAATATTATGTATTTTGAAAAATTCTCCATTTATAAACTGCGAACTCTGTTGGATGAAACAAACAAAGGCCCGAAAAATGCAAGAAACAAATAATACAATGAGAAAGTGCGAACATATCCAAGTTTTAAAAATCAGCGACTCCAAATATTTAAACTCCTAAAATCCTTTTTTGAAATACTAAAAAAGTACCAAATGCACCCTAAATATCATGAAAATAAAACTTTTGTATACTAAATCACCGTTACCAGCGATATTGTATAAAAAATTGAATTTTATTAAAGTTATTATTACCTCCATTGTTGTTGAATGATGCATACTTCTTATTGCATTTTGTGCCATGTGTTTCTTAGAAAATGTAACAAATGCACATCCTTTGCTTCCACCTTCCGCGTTCGTGAGTAACTGAAATATTAAAATAAAAAATTCGTTGTTACTAAGATAAAAAAAAAAAACGATAGCTTCTTCCACTACCCTAATACATAGGCTACATCTGTTACAATGATATGAATTTGTAGCCAGACAAAAAGGCTGTGGTTCACCATAAGTAGGAAGTCTTATCGACGCATGAAATCCAAATTGGGCTAAGTCCATTTTTCTAGTTTTGAGAAAAACGCAAAAAACGTTTTTTTATTGTTTCTTTTTTATATTTCTCTAATACCTTACATCAAGGATGTCTAGTTTTTATGGTCCACCAAAGTTACAATGAAGGCCATATTTTAATGGTATAAAAAAATTTGTGCTCCCCCCCAATTTTTTTTTTGGGAGTTTTTTGGACTTAACCCTTTTTGGCTCTCAGTTTTCTGGACTAGAAACAATTTTATTGGACTTAGGGCCCCTTTATTATGTTATTGTAGAGGCAACTTATCATTGATGAACGTCAATAATTCCCTTTTACAATGTTTTTGACATTTTTTGTGAGCTTATTTTTACAATGAAAAATATTCCTGCTTCTGAATCTTGATGACAATGGTTATCTAGCCTCCAATTTTTATCAGACTGCTGTTGCTACTGATTACTGCATTTGTTTACCTTCTCAGAACCATTACCAACTAAATTACTAAACAAATATAGGAAAGAAATTGTTGTAAATCATCAATCAGGGATGGTTAAAGAAAACAGATAAAAATGCCCAGCATGAAAACAGTTTTAAATGAGCTTAATTTTACAAAATTTCCAATGAATGTTTTTTTTTAAGATAGTCTTTCTGTTCATGAGATCTAACTTTCATCAACTACTGGAAGCATTTCGTAGAATGCCTTGTGGTTTGGAGGGATTAAATTCTTATTACATAATGTTGTCAAACTCTTGTATTTCTCACTGCTGACTGGCAGCCTTTCCTGGTAAAGCTGGGGTAGCTTTTCTATATTCTGTATTTTTTGTGTTGCTGATCTTGCTGACTTTCGAACCAAAGAGTTAAGGTCAACTTTCTGGAGCTCCTCATCCAAGTAACTGTACTTAAATTGCAATATACTAGGTTCAGTTTTTTTCATTGAATTGCAATATTGTTCTTCCAAATTCTAGCGTATTTAGGGAAGTCAGATGCTGATTTGAAATTAACGAAATCACCATGCTTCAGCAGAGTTATTTCAGGTTTTGTTTTTTTAAACGCCATTGAAATGGCAGTTTCCCATTGATCGGTCGTATACATGTTCACTTTTCGTACAGCTCTTTCAATCACCGAATGTGCTGTGTCATTCTCATTTTGAGAATGACCTGTAATTAGAAAATTGAGTGCTATTTCATCAAAATGCAGCTCCTCCATAGCATAGAGTAACATCACAATCATAGCTCTGTTATTATTTTGCCCACTGCAGCGGTCACAGAACAGTTGCACAGTCTTCACTGTTGTGGTGAGAGAGGACAGGTATCGGAAAACTGCAGTCGCTATTTCACAAGAGCCTTTTCGCCCTTCCACCTCATTCCAAAGATAGCAACTGGTCTGCATGGACTGAATGTCAGTAACTGTAAAGTTGAAATTTTTTAGCCTCTGTGTGTAGTAAAAGGAGGACACTTGTCCATGTGGACAAAGAAGAGTTTTCTGAAGGTCAAAAGCTGCCACATGAAGTGAAGCATCTGTTGTGGATTTTTCTTTCATTTCCCTCTTCATTGAATGCACCATGTCCTTTTCTTGAATATGCTTATTTTGATTTGCGAGATCTTCTTCAGTCAATAGAGATTTTGGCATATTTTGAAAGCTGGTGCATTGATCACACACATCCTTTTTAGGTCGATGAAACTTAAGATTGAATTTTTCATTGAATGTGCGTAAATAAAAATCATATGATTCAACTGGAGAGCTATTTTCTTCGCACCAAATCTTATACATTCTAAACATTTCCCGAACAGTCAGATACTCAGGAAGATATTCCCATTGACTGTCTTTTTTCACATAATGTGATTCAACGACTGGAAACAATTTTATATGAGTAATAATTGGCTCCTCTCTTTCTCTGGTGACCTTGTTGTGGTCACCATCTCTTCCTCTCATATCTTTCTCCAGTGAACCAGCAGATTTTCTCAGTGATGTCTCCACCTTTTTCTTGCTTATATTTAGGGTATCTAGAAAAAACTTCTGACACACTTGCACCAACTCATTTCTTTCTGGATTTGAAAAAGTGTAGACTCTGTTGACTTCTCGATTACGTTTTTGATCAGTCTTATTATCTTTTCTTAGTCTACTTCTCATTTTTTGTATTTCCTTGACGTATTTTGTTATAAACATTCGTTGCTTGTCTATGTCGCCTAGATTCCAGAATTGAATATGGATCATCATGCGAACTTCCTCTGATATTTTAGCCGTACATTTTTTTTTACATGAGCAAGACGGTTTGATTTTACCAATTTTTTTGGAAGAATCATTATCAGAGCCAAATCCTCTTTTTCCATGGTTTAAATCCGTTCGTCTTTTGTTTTTCTTTCCAAGTTTTCCTCCAGCACATCCGGACTTTTACCCTCTGTTGGACAATCTATTGACATGGTAGTAGACAATTTCACAATTTGATTCATATTCCACAGGAGTGACGATCCAGGGGAATGATAGTCCTCATCAAAGTTTTCCCATACTTGACAATCTTTGAGAATTTTTGTTATGGAAAAGCAGCCCTCATCTTTTTCCATTTCTCTTGCACAGGCTGATTCAATAGCATGATATTGTGCCCTGAAAATTTTCTTTCCTGAATAAAGCAGGTACACTTCCTCCTCATTATGCAATCCAGGCTTATTATTACTGGGCTGCATAACACATGCTGTTTGTGGAGTTGAAATTGGTGTCAAATCCACGATTTGCTGATCTGTGTCTGAATCACTTTCAGAGAAGTATATTCTCCAATGGTGTTTATTTTTATCTGGGATATATTCTGGATCATTGTCATCATCCACTGATATATCGGACTCTGAAAGAATATCACTTTCCTCAATCTGCTCTGAATTTTCTGCTTCGATAACGCAATCTAGCTCTTTTTCTGACAGAGAATATTTGACAAAGTCCCTATTAATTGAAGTCATTGTGTTGTCTAGGAAAAATCTCACTCTGTAAGTGTTGCTGTAAATGCTCAATATTTCACCTCTTAGAATGGAGTTTTCTTTGTGCTGCAATGTTTTGCTGTAACCAGGACTTGCTTCATCAAAATACGTTGCATACACTATACACAAACACTTCACAGCCTAGCTCTGGGTTTTTCTCACATGCAGTCCAACTTCTAGTACCGCCATTATTTTGTTCAAGAGTCATAATTATTCTGTATTATAATATAGCTGATAAATAAGAGCTAGGCTATGTCTCATTCTGAAAAACATTATGAAAAGAGCTTGACAAAAATTATGGTTGAATGCTATTTACAAATTCAGGTAAGGTGTCAACTTGACACTGTCAAGGGAAATGATTTTGGACTGAGACAATAATCATATTCTGGCTAGATTTCTTATCAGATGCGATATCTTAACTGAATAAAGTCCTCTGGCTGGTTCACATTGGCCTTGCTCGAAAAATACATTTCCTACTTGAAATTTCCATAATTCTGTAAATAATAATTATTTAAAAACAGCCGTTTGAAAGTGGTTATGGCAATGAATTACAACTCACTCATTCCCTCTACTGTAAACATAAGAAACAGCTAACACTGAGCTATGACTGAGAGCTGGTATGGACTTAGCGCTTTGTATTATATTTATTTCAGATTTTTGGACGGAGCTATGTCCAAAAAACGGACTTAGCCCCGACTTACAATGCAGTTATCCAGAGCTAAGTCCACTAAGTAGACACAGCTCTGTTTAGTTCTCAAATGCCCTAAAAAAAGCAGGGTTATGTCCATAGCTATCTTGAGATCTGGAGCACCTAGAGATAAGGTAAATAGACCAAAATGTAGAGCTAAGTCCAGAAAAATCAGCAGTTGAAAAATGTCATTTTGGGGAAAATTGGACTTAGCACTGTTTGGTTTTGAGGCGTCGTTATAGGCTGCATAAAAGTGAGAATTCTCTCTATTAAAAACCGAACATTTATAATATCAAATATAAATGATAATTCCAGTCTCCAACATTTTTTATCACTATTTCGTTCATTGGATTATTTAATTTTGCACTCTCAATTAAATATACAACTTAACGGAATTACAATCTTCAATAGTCTGCAGTCATCAGGCCCTCTGTAAAAAAATGTTTTGTGACCCCTGTTCTGGCCAATCAGCAGTCATTTGAACAAATTTATACTGCTAACATACTGGATAAAATAAAATTTGAATTAGAATCTTGATAACTGAAAAACCTGCTAAGCTTAAAAACAAAGATTTCAATTAGGCAGAGGTATCATAACTTTGTCAACTTGTTTGCAAGTGCAGTTGCTTTCTCAAAATTTTTATTCTCCACCAGGATAGAAAAAATCATTACAACATGAACTTTAAGAACCTTAGAAATATAACCTATAGGGCTAATATATTATTACATACCCGACATTCCTCAATATCTCCGAATTGTGCAAACATCATTCTAATATCACTTTCTGACAATTTTTTACTCAACATTCCGATAAATAATTTTCTCTCTTCATTCCTTCCTTCACTGTCTGCTGGTTTAACTTGTACAGGATGATGCATCTAGAAAGTTAGAAAGCTTTTTGGTAATTTTAACAATATGAAAAGCTTTAAAATGGTTTTCAGAATTTTGACATGGTGGAAATGAATATAGATCTCAACATGATATGAATACCGAATTCTGAATGAGCAGTTAGCCGATAAGAGCAACAATATTCCAATAACAAGTCATGGCCACCATGTACCTGGCCTATTCATCTTATCAAAGTTTCTCACAATTTGATGCTGCAATAAATGTCACTATATCCCCAATAACCAATAAAATAGCTCATAAATTGCAGAAGTTCAAACAACCAGAAGCTGCCTATGGCCTTTAACTATGGATGAACAATCACAACAAAAATCACTTATTTTTGGCAGCTTACATAATAGGCAAAATTTCCAAGAATTCGTCCAAAATTTTGAGTTTCAAGGCTATTTTTGTCACGAATTAACTCAATTGTGAATTTATTCTATATTCAAATTTTTCAAATACAAGATAAAAAAGTTTTGGCTATACTAGTCTGAGTATACTTGTACATGGATCTGAATATCATTTTGAGTGCATTATAATAAAAAAAAATAATAAAAACTATGCAATGACAGTAAAACTGATGTAGTAAAATCATTTCAAATCTGAACTTACCCCAGGTAATTTCTTAATATTGTGAAGTTCATTTTGAGCATCTAAAGCAGATTTTCTTGAATAAAATGTAACAAAGCAGCAACCTAAATAGACAGCAATATAATGAATCAAACACATACGGTGGATGGATAACGATATTATAAATGCTATAATTTATAACATTAATTAATAATAAGAATTTATAAGTAGGCTATAAAACAATTTTCATATTTCTCTTAGTCAAAGTTATTTTGAGTTTAGATCAGAGATGTGTAATATTATTTGCATTTTTTTGTTTACAAACAAGAAGAATAGGCCTATCTTTGTTATATCATTCTCAAATTTCACTAGATCAAATAATATATATCTTAAGCAAGCAATACTTTTTTCTGCTAGTTGAGTGGCACAATTACGTTACAACAGATATAATTCAGCACTTACAAATCGCGTAGCATATTAAATTTTTTTATATTTTATTTCTTCAAAATTAAAGTTATCATACCTTTACTTGTAGTAAGTCCCTTCTCTCGCAAAATATTCAATTGATAGATTCGGCCGAACTTTTCAAATAATTGTCGTAGTTGCAGTTCGTCCCAAGACTTGGGAATTTGACCAACAAACATTTTAATTGTATCATGGTCAGGTTGATCTGCCACTGCAGTTCCTAAAAATGTGAAACAAAAATTATTTCATTAATAAAATGCATTATGCATATACTGTTGGTTCTTTTAATTCCTAAAGTGATTTCTACATGTAAAAGTTCTAAATAAGCAAGAGAATCACAAGCAACAAATTATTATTTCATTCAATGATGTATATTTCTGTTACATAAATATATATTTGTGTTCGTGTGCAGCAAGACTCTTGAATTGAATAGTAATTTTCACTCATGATACCGCATCCTTGCGTTATACGCATATGAATCCACTAGCGCAAAGGCATATAGAGCAAGTAGTTAGTTTCATGTAGCAAAAATGTCGAATTACAAACAAAACAGTTTTTAATACGCACATTCAATCAATGTGATACATGAACTTGTTTTTGTGCATGTAAATCATTATAACGCAACAAAGTGACCGATATACCCAGTTATACTTCTCTCTCAAAATTACGGTAATATTAGACTGATATTTGGTCATTTTTATGTCAAGTTTTAATTAAACCCTCACAGATTAGTCATTTTATAGGAAATGAATTGCTATTTCATGACGCACTTTGTATAATCTCCAACTCACTGTCACAAACAGTTTGGAAACCATAGCCATATTCCATTTCCAGTATTTTGATGACACAATAGCGAGCAGAAAATTATCTGAAGCGAGGTTATATGAATATAAAGTGTATAACTAATGTTGTTCCATCTCAAGTCATCTTCAGAAATTTTTTCTCAAAATATATAAGAAATTGAAAATAGTCCCTTCTGAGAATTGTACCTTTCTACCTTTTAATTGTACCTTTCTATTTCATCCCTCATTTAATATGAAACAAACAAATTGCAAACGGCAAAGCCAATTTCTATTGACACATAATGATTGAAGACAATATAATAATTTGAGATTGAATGCTATGCAAATAGCCATGATACAGTGACGAATATCATGGAAAACATTATCAGGTGCATATAGCAATATACACTTTGACATACCACAAAATCAATCACCACAGAACATAGTCCCTAAAGCCCTGGTTTAAATCAATACATTATTGATTGATCTTGACTAAAATGAGTGTTTCAATGAGAAGTGGAAAATCAGGAGCATATAATTAAATAATGGCAAATGACAAAAATAATTTTAAAGGAATCAAACGAATGATTTATGACATTACAAAAATGAACTGATTGTTTCTGCAATTACTCGATTGATTTTCTGGATTATAAGTTTATTTTGCTCCAGCCGAAAAAAATTCTAGGTTTAATCAATCCTTCTCACTATATTTCTCTATCATATTTCAAGAGGGGTTCTGCTAGTACATTCCGGGGCTTTTAAAAATTCCATTCAAGCCCGAAAGTATATTACTTTATGTATATTTCAATTATATAGTAAGTGATTTTCTCTCATAAAGATTTCCAAGTGTTCCACGCCATGTTGTTGTTTCACATTTTTTTGTCATATTTTATGATAACAAATGTAATCATAATAATCAATTGCACAAGGATTCCTGCCAAAAAGGTTGAAAACGTAGACCTCAAACGAAAGGACGTAGGCCTCAAATACCTCTCTGCCAAAGTGACCAGCAGTTTGCAACCTTTTCCAACTATTTATATATTAACTATATGCATTCATTCAACTGTGTATTTGTCGAAATTGTGCTGCTGAATATGCTTGAACAAATTGAGATACCCTAACCCAGCATATAGACTTATGCTGCAGCCTACAGCTTTTCACAATGTGGTTTATATATATATCAATGTTGAGTTAAACAAATAACTATTATGTTGCCTCATTGGACAAAAGTTCTGTATCTGTATATGTGCAACTTATTTCAACTATGGGCAACAATTTTCATTTTTCATTCTTCAACATGTAATTCTTGGACAAAACACTTCTTCAAATTGATAACATGATTATCTTATCTGTGTGAAGGTGGTGAAGTGTTATCTTCATGGACCAACAAGTATGTAAAATTTAATAATGTCCATGATAAGTATTGTGATGAAACACTTACCTGAACCTTGTGGACTTCCGTTCATTGTTGGAAAGTTGATTATCTGATGATTAATAAGAAATGATGATATGAATCGCAATCGATGTTGTGAATCAGGAAGTTGAATCAAACTTCCACAAAATCATTTGCAATATCTGAACAATAAATGGCGTGGATATAATAAGCATACCTTGTGTCACTCACATATATAGGCATTGCATATCAATTATTAATATTAACAGCCGAAAGATGATAAACTAAAAACTTGAGTCCAAATTGGTATCTCATGCATCAGTATAAAAAGTTGATAGGATAGTTTCTTTTCACTTCATGAGCTTGTTAATAATAAGGTATCCAATATTACAAGAGAAAGGTAGTGAAGAGGCTCAATTAACAATGTGTTAAGTAATCGAAAACCCAATGAAGTAAAATGAAAAGCGTACCACCATAAACAGTGTTCATCAGATTTATAAAAGACTATTGTTATTGTGCTCAAGCAATTGTTATTGATCTACCTATCAATAAATGATTTTCGTTGCCTTAGCAACACAGATTCCAATCCAATATCAATTGACATTAGGGAAAATTTCAACACAATTCATTATTAAAAGTTGGAAGTTTGAACATTAAATTAATTGAAAATGCTTGCCATGACCCAAGTTTACACAGACTTTGGTTCATAAAATGATAAAATAGTATTTATGCTTGCAATTCGTTTAACTACCGTATATATATGAAACAAAATAGATTGCAGAAATGAATTCAAGAATACCAAACGTATCAACATGTATTCACATCCATAAAAAGGAATATAAGATTATTTTCTATTATCACATCTAAGCCTTACTATGCTGATGTCTCTGTTCGAAATAAGAACAACATTCTAACTATAATAGTAAAGACTTAATTTGATACTCCTGAAGTATGCGCACCAAGATGTCGCACAACCTGAACCCTAACCTGATACACAACCTGAGTTCAGGTTGTGCGCCATTTTGGTGCGCATACTTCAGGAGGTCCCTTAATTTTATTAATATTAAGTGGACTAACTTCATGTGTACAGCAAATCTACATCTGAAGGAAATGCACAATATCAGTGAAATTGAATCATTTATATATCAGTCGTATTTTCTTTGTTAACTTTTTTTTGTGATAATAAAATTTTTTTTTATAATTTAAACACTTAACGACTTCCAAAATAGCAAGTGTACTATTTCAGAAATCTGTAAATTATGCCATACTCAATAACTATATCACACAGATCATAATACTTTGAATACATAGATATCAAGTAAAAATACATACCTTACACAAGCTAACCATACAATCCCCTTACGCACAAGTTTGAATAGATTCAGAGATCGGATTGAAGTACAGACACAAAACAAGTATGTTCCTGAGATCTTCACAAAATTAATCCCTGGACAAGCTTGTATCAGACAATCTCATACAGGAACAAAACAGTGCGACATGGAACATACACAAACAATTCTGATGACATAAAGTCAAAACTACCAAACAATTTCTAAATAGATCAACTCAATTACTCATATGATTCAAACTGCTGGACTGTCATGAATATACTGAACATTGATATGGTTCTTATCTGGACTACTGGACTAAGAACGCCTGGAGACAGCGTTTCGTTAATTCATGCAATTACGTTAATTTGATGGTCAGAAAGAAATTCGAATACGCATTGACTCCAATGGACTTAGTTCATATAGATATTTTAGGTCTAGCGAAGTACAATACGCCATACTGCAATGAATGCTTAAATACCACCAAAAAAAAATGTGATGTGAACGTGTCTGTCAAGAATTTCATTCCACATCAGAAAGATTTTTTTTAAATTGAAAAATTTCATATATTTTGGTTGGGAATTATTCAGAAAGTTTATTTCACTTTACTTTTTCGTTTGGCTTTATTTGCTAGACCTGAAATTCCAATATGAATACATTATAAAAGGAAAACATGGGTTATCAGTCCGGATTACCAAATTGATAAATTTATCTTCACACTACAGAAGATATTCAAGCAGGTAAGTCACCAGTAACTGATACAGAAAACACCTTAAAATTCGTTTTCGTCATTTTTTGGGGCTAGTTCACTAAATGCCGTCAAGTACTTCTAGTTGGAGCATGTGGGGTGGCATAACCATTTTCGCATATGTCATTTCTAACCCCCACCTGACTACGTCATCTAAAAATTACGTCATTACAACGTCCAGACGTCACAATGACGAAATAGGGCCAAGTCAAAGTATACACATTGTCGTCCAAAGCGCGCAGACGATCACTCAAAATCAAGCAAGCTATTTCACGCATTTTCTCGTCATACCAATCCAGATATGTGAGAGATCGCTAGTGTTAGCGAATTTGTTATCGTCGGCAGAGATGCCATTTCGGGCGATCATTTCAGCTTTTCTTTCAGTATGGCACACTATACAGATCGGGTGACATTGTCCACCCCTCTATTGGGAGAGGTCTGGACACTGTTGTCCCTCAATATCGGTAATAATACAGTATAATGGAGTTGCGCAAAATACTACAGAAAATCGCTATCTAATAACGTCATCATTGAATTCCTTGGGAAAAAATAATCCGATTCACCAAAAGAAATTTTTTTTACCGTGGAATTCGAGTGTTCTTAGCAAAAAACAGCAATTTTGGTCACGTGACAGCCACGATTACTTTAGATTATTATTGAGACAAGCATGGCTGTGATATGAAGCATCTGACGTGATCCCAGACGCCCCTCGTTCGTGAGATACATAGAGTATTTGTTTTATTGAGCCAAATGGAGAGAAATTCTTGGAATTTGGATAGTGTGCTGTACTGTCTTTGGCAAGCTCTATGACGTATTGCAGTATTGTGACATCGTAGTGATGTAATATTAGGATGACATAGTCAGGTGAGGGTGAGGAATAACATATGCAAAAATGTTTAGTGAACCTTTTTTCAGATACAGTAATCTAAATACTGTAATAAGAATAAAAGCAATTTCCAATTCATTTGAATGATTGATTCCTTTTCTCTTATAAATAAATGATAACAAAGTGATTGACGAGTTGTATGTTTTTCCTCATTTCAGCATTTACAAATTTCTCAAGATCAAGATAAAAAATCTGTCGGATAGGGTAGCACCAGTACCGATACCATAGCAATGCAGTGCAGCAGTGTGGCGGTGTGGCTCAACGGGCTAAGCGTTAGGAATACGCTTACCACCGCACCTCTAATTACTTTGCATGGATTCGCAGGTTCGAGTCCCATGCAGGGATGGTTATGTGCGAGAGGATTGCTGGACTCCTCGCCGTCGTTGGGTTGTTCACGTAACTGCTGGTCGTTTACGGCTTCCTCCACCACCAAGTCCATGCTTCCGAAAACGATAAATATAACTAATCCCATACCCGACTTGGAATGGTAACCGAACGAGAGGCCGTGGTTCGCCATATTGAAAAAGCCGTCTTATCAACTTTCCTCTCCCTCGGGATAAATATGTACCGTAAATCCTATCCAGTAAACAAATCTTAAACACGCCCTGCTGCCCTGGAACAACCCCAACTCGCAAGACCCCTGGACTCTGTACCGGTACCGGTATAACTACAGAGATGACTGAATGAGAAGCGAATAATCAAGATAAACTGAATTTAGATTTAGGATGCAGTGTCTGAGTGTGCTACATTTAACCTAAATTCAGAGCTGCAGCTGCTGAAACTTTAACAGAAGTCCGCCGTACCGGTACCGCTGCAGTTTGGTACACCAAGTCCATGCTTCCGAAAAACGAACAATATAACTAATCCCATACCGGTACCCGACTTGGAACGGTAAACGGACGAGAGTCCGTGGTTCGCCATATGGATAAGCCGTCTTATCGGCTTTCCTCTCCCCCGGGATAAATATGTAAATCCTATCCTATCCTACCCGGCATTAGTTATTACCGGTACGGAAATCTAGTCTGAAAACAAAACTATAGGTAAGGTACGTTAAGTATTACAACTGCGCAAAGATAAAAGACAGTCACAGTATGACCCTTACCGGTAACTACCGTACGGTACCGGTACCGGTACATATATAAAAATACAGGTAAGGTTATGCATTACCAAAGTGGCTATGCATTACCGTACAACCGGATCGAACAAACATCTTTTGGAGGCGATAGAGCGCTGTCAACGACAAGTCGCAAGCGATCACCACAAACTCAGTATTTGTACGAAATTCCTATTTTATTTTTGGACACGAAATGGACATAACGATCGTTACAATATTATGTTGTTGTTGTTCTTGTTCTTTGACACGTTTTTAAAAAGTCGCTTTTCTCTTCGAATACTGGACCAATTGCTTTGAAATTTTCAGTGGTTGAAGATAAAATTTTTCTCCAGAAGGCTATTACTTTTATTTATTTTAAAATTTCCTGTGGACTTCGAGAGATTCGTTTTTTGTGTTCAAAGAAGCGATCAGAATAAAAAATAGTGACACCTTGTGGCGATTGCGCGAAGGCATATCAACTGAGAAGCGATCGTAATGGAGGGTATTCATTATCGCCACTGAGCGTCGCCATTTTGTTTTTATGTGGGCATGCGCGGGAAAGTACTGTCTTCTGCTTCCCCGCGACGTTGGACTGGTTTGGGCTTTTCGATTGCAATGGCGGCTCGTGCGTCTGGTGGTTCCAAATTGCATTGCTGCGTACCGTTGTGTAATGGCGATAGCCGTTACTCACCAGACTTATCGTTCCACTCTTTCCCCAAAAATGAAGAGAGCGTGGGTTCACAGTATTCGTCGCGATCCTGGTAAACATTTTCAAGTAAGTCAGTATATTGTGGCAAATATGTTTTTCTTCTGGCTTTAATTTTAGTTTTGACCCTGATTTTCTCTTCTCGCTTCTACTTTAGTTATTAGGCTATATCTATGCGGTTGTAGGCCATATGTGAGTGTATTTAGGGTGAGCACAGCCCACGACTTTCTTTTGCAGTTCTAGCAACAATTAATTTAACTAATGATTTGGTTTCTACGAAACTAACTACTTATCCTTCTTCTATTCTTTTGTGCCGGCGGATCGGTATGCATATAATGCAAGGATGCTGTAGCAAGAGTAAAGATAACTATCCTAAGTGATTTAAGAGTCTTGCTGTGAGTCTTAGTGTGCAGCAAGACTCTTGAATCACTTAATTAAATTAATTTAACTTCTGCTCTTTTCAAATCTTAGTTGGGGCTCTTCTGATTCTGTAGACTAATAAGTGTTTATTTTGTCAATATCTTCCTGGTGTACTGATTATGGGAATCAAGCTAAACTTGATAACCTATATTATTATTAGGTGGCATACATTAATTCCTTGAAGCCTAGCTTCACTTTAGTTGGTGTTATTTATTCCGTTCGTATCAGCTGGTTCATTTTGACTTATTAAAACAGATTACACCAAGCCTGCGAGTTTGTGGCAACCATTTCAGACCCGAAGACATATATGAGACGCCTTCTGGTCGACGCCGTTTGCACCGCAACTCAGTTCCATCAAAATTTAGTTGGACAAAGTTAATTGCAGAGAGACCACTGCCAAACAGACTGAGGTAAAACAGAATATATCATTTTTTGAATTAGACTATACCACCATATAGTATCAAACCAAAATTTAAAATTAACCAATTTGAAAAAATATTTTGACAGACTATAAAAGTCTAGAATATCAGGGTGGTCCAACATTGTCGGCTCCGCGGGCCACAAAATTATTTTTGCATTGTTCGCGGGCCACAATAGTGCCAAGAATAGGTAAACAGTGCAATACAAAATAAACACTTTCATTGTGCAAACACATAGTTATAAGATATAGCCTGCTCTGGCTAATAGAATCTGTATTCGGTTCTTAGTTTTCTATGATGGCTACATTGTTGGCATATATTCCTGACAAAAAAGATAGAAAGCCAGATACTAATTTAGACTACCAAGCACATCATTCAACTTTGCTAGTTGCCTCACAGCTAGCTATAACAATAGTCAATTCAGTGCCAATATTTGATATACACATATACATGCAATGCAGAGGATCCAATACTTGAAGCTGTAATTTGGGTACAATATGACTTTTCACCGATATCTGGTTCATCATATAATTGAGCCGTCTTATCATCCTTCCTTTCCCCAGGATGAATATGTGATTTCTTTGCTAATGAATTTTATTATATTTGTACAGAACCACTGATGATGCCACTGTACCAAGCAGTCGGACCAGCAGTCTGAGTTTTAATCACATTAATCCTACTCAAGTGGATCACAACTACTGCATTGTAGTGAAAACAGCTAAAGAAAAACTTGAGCAAGCTTTAAAAGAAATTGAGAATTTAAAAACTCAAGTTTCAAAGCTGTCAATATCTAAATTCGGTATGGAACGTTTCAAGGCGTCAAGCTCCATGATTAAATATTATACTGGCTTTAGTTCCTATTGTTTATTGATTGACTTTTTCCACATATTGTTGGACTGTGCTAACTCTTTAACACTATGGTCTGCTGTAAGCGAAGAAGTTTATAATGGAAGTAGCGATTTTTTAGACCACCCTTGTAAGAAGCGATCGCTTCCACTGGCTGATGAACTATTTTTATTTTTGTGTCGTCTGAGACAGGGCTTTGATGAGATCCATCTTAGTGATGTTTTTTGCATATCACAGTCCACTGTCTCTCGGATAGTTATCACATGGGCTAATTTTCTTTATTTTACCTTGGCATCTATCCCAATTTGGCTCACATGGGCTAATTTTCTTTATTTTGCCTTGGCATCTATCCCAATTTGGCCTACTCGTGAGCAGGTTTATGAAAATATGCCACAGTGTTTTAAAAACCAAGGTTATGGTCTACACGCATAGTCCTTGACTGTTGTGAAATTTTATGCCAGTCACCATCTTCACTCATGCTCCAAAGTGAGTTTTTTTCATTTTATAAAAACCATACAACATTAAAATGTTTATTGGGTATTGCTCCCCATGGTCCAATAACTTTTGTCAGTTTATTATTTTGCGGTAGCATATCAGACGGTGAAATAACCCGGAGATCTGGAATTTTGAGTTTGCTTGAAAGAGGGGATTCCGTAATGTGCGACAAAGGATTTGCCATCAGGAGTCTCTTGGAAGTGAAAGGTGTGGGTCTAAATATTCCTCCATTCAACTTTAACGGGCGGTTCACATATGAGGAGGCATTGCGGTCCAGCAAGATTGCTTCACTTAAGAGTCCACGTAGAACGAGCAATCAGAAGGGTGAAAGAATATCAGGCAGAATACCACTGAGTATATGCTAGGAACAGTTAATCAACTATGGACCGTTGCTTGCTTATTAACCAACTTTAGCGGTCCTTTGTTTTAGAAGTAGTTATTTAGTTTTATTTTTCAGTTTTAGTTTGTTTATTGTTGAATAATTATTTTTAGTTCGAGCAGTTTAGTTTATCAAATACATTCAGGACATATTTTATGTCCCTTTAAAGATCTTAGCTTTGTTAGAATATACAGCAGAGGGTGTGGGTGTCACAACATTATATTAGGTTAACAGTAAAAGAAAAGGGAAAATTCAGAATAGCCTTTTGTACTGCCTGTCTCGCCTGTTTTCAACAAATTGCACTATGGCGAATACACAAAATACTAATTTATTGAAAGCCCAAAGCAACTGGTTACTACATTCTAAATTTAAAGCAATAAAATACATAAATGCCTAGGCAAGTTTTTTCTCTTGATATATAATTGTCCTTCAGACATTTCACAAAGTGAAAAATTTTTGTCCTCAAGATGACATGTTTGTCGCAACCGTATTTATGAAATGATCATCAAAAAAGGATCCCAGACGCAATTGTAGGTCCAGAAAATATGCATCATCAAAATATATGCGATCAATAAAACATGCACCCGAAGGTAAAAGAATAATGATGTCACAACACTTGAGTCCTGTGATTCCTAAACACCCCATTATTTGAAAATAATAATCATGATTCTTGCTTCTCTTGCTCCGCTAAGAGTTGTTTATGGAGAATCGAGATGTTTGGGGTTACCGGTACCCGCAATGGAAGGCTTTTGAGGTTAAGTTAAACTACCGGTACTGTTTCGCTCGGTGTTCAATCAATCAATCAATGTTCACTTTCCATATATTTCAGTATTTGTAGACTGTGGTTCCCGTGTTAAGCGAAAGTGATACCGGTACCGGTACGATAGCTGGGAAAGCTATGACAGTCCCTGTGGCCTGTACGGCACGTACCGGTACCGTTTACAGGTTTACGTACCGTCTTACCGATACCGGTACCGTAGTCCGTTACGGTACGTACCGGTACAGCTGTACATGTACGATATCGGTAGACTAGTACAGTATTACTGTACTAGTTGCATTAATTATATTTGTTTAGAGTGTGTGCCTGCATTGAAATTAAGTTTTTGTAATGAGCCAGCATGTCTGCACAGCTGCTATGCCTTTCTAATTTTTCGCTGTTTCGTTACAGCCTCTTGTCTGGTTACCGGTAAGGTACCATTCCAAGTCTGGTATGGCTGTATGGGATTAGTTAGTTATATTGTTCAGTTTTATCAAATATAAATTGATCGATAGCCTACTCACCTATTTTAAAAATCAAATTGTTGCAATTTGCAGATGTGAGAATGAAATATATGACCACTGTACAGTCAATGACGTAGGTATGTGCCAAATCATATCAAGTTTATTTACATGTTTACTCTTACTGCATTCCATTACTCTTATTCCATTTTTTTGTACGCTTGCACAGCTGCAATGTTTATGCTCATCTTTTAGCCCTTTTTCATTACAGTTCTGCGGTAAACAACATCAATATGCTAATAAAGAAGCATTACAATCTTTCCAATAGTGTTCAACATGTTATGAAATATGGTGGTCGCGGTTTCATCAATGCAAAAAATATTTGCCGGTTTAACAGCGTGATGCAATTATTGCAAATAGTTTTCGTGTCCATATATTTGAGCATTGCTCTCTTGTTTTTTATTATTACTATTTCACATTTCTATTATTTATTTGTATTGTATGATACTGCAATATTGTTTAAAAAACGTTTAAATTGTTTCAAAAATGTTTAAATTGTTTAAAAAAAACGTTTAAATTGTTTAAAAAAACGAAAAGGATATACAATATTAGACAATTACTTACTGATTGATACATAATTTTTTGCAATATTGTTTATTATGATAAATTACCTTTGTGCATTTGTTGATATCGTTTAATATTGTTTATTACAATATTTTTTTTTGTATTTTATTAAAATCCAATAAAAAATAAAAAAAATAAAAATTCCTATTTTTAAGATATCGCCGTTTATACCGAGTTTCTCAGGTGACAGCACATTTGCCCCCACGGACATTTGTACCGGCGGATATTTGCACTCGCGTACATTTGCACCAACAGACATTTGCACCCACCGGCATTTGCACCCACGTACATTTTCACTAATTTGCACTTTCACCCACATACATTTGTAAAACATTTTCACGCATATGCATTCGCCCCATAAACATCTTTACCCGTAGGTATTTGCACCTTCATACATTTGCACTCACAGTCATGTTCGCTCGCGAATAACTATGTTTCAGACACAACTAAATTATCAAGAGAGAGAGAGAGAGAAATTTATTGCCACAAAAACAAAATCAACACTAATATAAACATAATACATTGGACCTTACCCCGAGCATCGACTTCCTTGTTTACTTCTTGATATCGGCCAATCAGCAAGGTGCAAAAAGTGACGTAACAATGCTCCCTTTTCGCATCTGCTCGGACACTTTTATCACTCAGACAGATTTTCAGGTGTGGTCGTAAACATTACCTAATTTTCGCGTTTTTAAACTCTATTCGTTAGTTTCCAGTTGTGTTCCGGAATTTAAAATATAAATCAGATAATTCAATGATCACTCTGTCTTCCTAGGAATTTTAATTTGATTGAAATAATAAAAAATTAGTGTAGAAATAGCTGCGATAGACTAGGCTACAATTCCTCGCCGGTACTTTTTAAAAACAGATTGTTGTATGCCCTGAATCATAATGATGGTTTGAAACACATATCTCATTTTACAGATGCCAACTCGCGGAACCACTCTAAAAATAAGCACCGAAAATTTTACAATGGTAAAGTATAGAAAGAATTTTTCAGGGGTTAAAGGTAAGATAAAGAAATGAGTGAATGAATCGGCAATTCAAAGTTATTATGTAATATAAGTTAGCATGGGGCAAGTAATAAGTATAATTATTGGACACGTGATGTGGACCTATAGATCGTTTTAATATTTTGTTCTGGTTCTTGTTATTGTTCGTCTTCATCATTATAAAATCGCTTTTCTCTTCGAATTCTGAACCAATTGCTTTGAAATGTTCAGTGGCTAAATTGATTTTTTGCCAGAAGGCCAATATTTTTATTTACTCCTAAATTTTCTATGAATCTTATGAGATTTAATATTTCATCCAAAATTCGGCTGTATTACTTTTTAATTATGGTAACACGGTTGGTAATCCGCCAAACGTGACAGTTTATTCTGACAATTCTTGCGACTGAAAACTCGGGAATTTTTTTAGGGTACCAGTAACGTCAAAGATAATCTTTTTCGCTACTATCCACGTGCAACTAGTTGTTCTCCTTGTAGTGGAATCATGATCAAATATTGATTTAACAATTTGTAAATCTGCCACAAGAGTATTTCTGATGGTCCTACATTGCAGGAATAAAATCCAATCAAATCATTTCTCCTATTAGTCTGAATAATATTGTAATATTTGAATATATATACTGTATATAACTCTCATTTCATGCTTGATCGCACTTCGAACTTGTATCCTCTGAATTAGTTTCTCAGAAAGTGTCAACTGAATAACTTGTTTTGTAATTAGTTGTATATGATGTAGTTGGCTGAATATTGATGCAACAACTCAAAAGTTGTCAACTGATTAATTCTGCTGGTCTAGTATTGCAAAAATATAATCAACCAAATCAGTTATGTGGATATTCTATATAATGTTGTAATATTCGATTACATATATATATAATCCTCCTTTCATGTATGACCCAACTTTAAACTTGCATACTCCGAAATAGTTTTTCCAGAAAGTGGCTGGATTAGCATAATATTGAATTCCATCCATTTTTTTTTCTATTAAGTAAAGCGCAATTCTTTGTATCCTTCGAATTAATAGACAATTTTCAAACTCATATTAGTATCCTATTCACAATATAGTAAGTGAAGTTTGAGTTTAAATATTCATCCCTCTACATCCCTGATTGTAAAATTTTTACTATATTTGGGGGGGGGGGGGGCACGAGAGTCTTGCTACGCCACTGGGTATAACTACCACAATTTGTTATCCATATTAGTAATTCTCCAGACCCCTAGTAATTTTTTCTTAATATGCATGGATCAATGATCATATGAGCCTGATAACTAACTTCAATCATTAGCCCCTTGTAATTGTGCTTTTTACTATTATTGGACACGAAGTGGACATAACGATCGTTTCAATATTATGTTGGTCTTGTTGAACACGAAGTGGACATAACGATCGTTTCAATATTATGTTGGTCTTGTTGTTGTTGTTCTTTGACACTTTTTGGACATCTAGTGGAAAATCTAAAAAAACGCTTTTCTCTTCGATCACTGGACCAATTGCTTTGAAATTTTTCTCCAGAAGGCTATTACTTTTATTCATTTTGAATATTTCTGTTAGCTCTATGAGATTTGTTTTTGTTTGCTATGACGCCACTGCACGTTCTGCGGACGCATATGCAGGCACTCCTCTTTTTGATCACGTGACATCGAACGTTGGCGTGACGGCGGATTCTGAAAGTCGTTACTTAAGAATCGCAAGTTTTTCGAGGTTA